GAAAGTATTTGTTCCTAATCTTCTAATCATATGTGATACGCCCAAAAGGCTGGGATACTGCCTTCCTGAGTGAGGAGCAGGAAGAAAAGCACCACCACGGCTGACTGTACTACCTCTGGGCTTGAGACTGTGGGAGACTTTATTTTGTTACTCTTTTTGCAATAGTGTTTTCGAAGTTTAGCGTTTTCTACAAAGATTATGTATTAGTTTCTTTATGTATTAAATTTTTTAATTAAAAAAGATCACATAATATTTCTTTTGAAAGGAGAAATAAACCCCCAGGGAGCTCCGCGTGGAAGTGGGATCCTGCCCGTCTGCATTTCAGCCTCTTCGGCCCCAAGTCCCCTTTTCGCCCTTCCGGGTCCCAGTTAGCAGCTCGCACCCCCACCGGCTTCCTGCATCACCCCCCACCCCCCAGCCCCCGGGTCAGTTTGCCATGGAAACAAGCCAGGTTACACAGAGACTCCAGAGGCGCCAGCCCTGGAGCATCCTGGAGGTTGAACCCGGACAGCCAACCTCTGCAACAGGCTGGGAGCTGAAGCGCAAGCCAGAAATAAGAGGTTCCACGACCGAGACAGACGTGGCGCAGACCCTGCAGAGGCCCCCGGCTCCGCCCCCACCCGGTAGTTGAAAAACAGCCGCAGCCCCGCCGTCGCCGCCCACTGCGCCTAGACCTTGCCAGGACCGGACCACTTGGAACCCACATACCCGTCTCCCCGCATTCGTCGCCTATGGCTGACCAATTCTTTCAGCGCAAACCCTGGGACCCCGAGCAGCTTCGCCCGGACCCCGACTCTGACTCCGAAGGCCTGTTTGACAAGGCTCCTCCGGAAGAGCCCCCCGCTGTCCGTGGGCCCAAGTCGGCGTGGGCCGGGGGCAGGAAGGCGGGTCGGCGCACTGGCGGGAAGGCGCAAGGGGCCCGCCCCGGGCAGCCCCCTAAGGGCGCGATGCGCCCCCAGCCCCAGGAAGAGGCCCCTCCATTGGACGAAGGCTGCTATCTCGACCATTTTCCGCACCTCTCCATCTTTATCTACGCGGCCATCGCCTTCTCCATCACCTCCTGCATCTTTACCTATATCCATTTACAGCTTGCCTGATTGGCGGGGGCGGGACGGAATGCGCGCAGGGCTGAGGCGGGAGGGAAGGGAAAGGAAGTGCTTAGCATTTTGTGCCTGGAGACGCGCCGCACCCCCTTCGTCTAGCTTTTGACGCTTGTGTCTTTTCTTCTCTGCTTGTCACCACCTTTGTCTACCTGTACATCAGTATAAACATCCAAAGCAGCTGTCGCTAATGAAATAAGCACCTGGGGACGAGGGGACGGGAACACAGTCAGACTCCAACGTTTAGTCTTCGCGGTGAGATGGATCCCCATTTATCATGAGGATAATGTTTCTGGACCCTACCGCTTTGTGAGGTTGGGGCACGCAGAGAGGGCCTGTCGTTTTGTGTCTGGGGCGTGTACAGCGAATCCAACCTTCTGTTTTTTAAGGGATGAGCCGACCCGGGCCGCGGACTTCCAGAGAGGGCCCCGCGGGGAGGGTCGGCGCCCTGGCCTGGGCTGGGGCCGGAGTCCTGTGGTGCTGCATCGCCCGGCCACCCCCTCCCAGGAGCCAGCTGAGCCCCCCACCCCACCCCGAGCTGGCGCAGACAGAGCCCGGCGCGTGGGAGGGAGCTGGCGGACCTGAGCGCGCAGCGGACGTCACAAGAGCGCAGCACACAGTGAGTGGCGTCTGTCGGGGTAGCGCACCACCTCCCCAGAGACTTGAGCTCACCGGGACTGCGTTTTCCCTGCCTTAGGCTTTGATGACGCTATCGTTATCGGGACCGAGCGGAAACAAGGCCAAAGGAGCTGTTCTGCCAGGAAGTCACGCTCTCATCGTGTCCTGGACGCTTGGGACCAGCGGCTGCAGATCTCCAGGGACGCGCCGGCCCATAGCTTGCACGCTGCGCTGCGCGGGATGAGGCTTGGGGCCCAAGAGAGGGTTGCGTCTTTAGGAATTGGAGGGGGTGGGGTTTGCTTATCCTGGCCCTGAGCCCTTCCAGAGCCTCGCAAAAGGGAGTGAGATTTCTGATGGAGGAGAATTCGCTCTAGGAAATCACCCAACCCCTAGGGGTTTGTCATCTCATACCCAAAAGGCGCAATACCAAAACCCACCTTGGCAGGTTATTTACCCACATGCCATCTCTGTTTTCTCATGAATGTTTAATGTCAAAACATAGCTCTCTACTACAGTGTATACTTGGAAATGTCTGCAATTGTGGTGCCTCTGATGAAATAAATTCTTCCTTTTCGGTCTCCTCTATTTCTGTCCTTTATTCATTTCCAACTATGCAGTGAGCCCACCAAACTTCCTATTCCACTTCAAAATTCACCCCGTAATCTTCACGTCCCTACTGTCCCTCCAAAACCAATTTCATCCCATTACCCAGCATTCCAAGATACAGCATTTCTCTCCACTAAATAGCTATAAAAAGAAAGTGAAAGTTGCTCGGTCTTATCCAACTCTTTGCAACTCCATGGACTAAATCCCCCAGGCCAGAATAATGGAGTGGGTAGCCTTTCCCTTCTTCAGGGGATCTTCTCAACCCAGGGATCAAACCCAGGTTTCCCTCATTGCAGGAGGATTCTTTACCAGCTGAGCCACAAGGGAAGCCCAAGAAGACTGGAGTGGGTAGCCTATACCTTCTCCAGGGGAATCTTCCCAATCCAGGAATTGAACCCAGGTCTGCCACATTGCAAGAGGATTCTTCACCAACTGAGCCACAAGGGAAGCAGATAGTCAAATAGCTATATAGACCTCTAATTGGTATCTTCTCCATCTCATGTCCTGACAGCATACCAGAGTCCAGTTCTCCTGACAGCAGGCCTCTGTCCCCTAGTGACTCACTGCCCTCAGTATCCAGTCCCCATTTGCCTCTTATCAAGACACTTCCACCCCACCCCGACAGTCCCCCCACTGAGCTCTAGAATTTGCCCCAATTCACCAGCTTGTACCTTTATAAGTTCAGTGTTTGCTGACAGCAGGATCTTGTCATTTCCCAGTTCTGTTTTCCCAGAATCCCATATCACTACCTGCCTTGATATCTGGACCCTTTATTTCAGTACCAAAAATGTAACACCTACCATTTCCCAACATCAGCCTGAGCTGTGCAGCCAGTTTACTACAATAATTTATCCCCAATAAAAGGTACTGTTCTCCAAAATTAAGTCTCCAAGGTATGATATGTACCATTCTTTTTTTCCAGTTTACAATCTTGGATACTGGATCTTTACTGTCCTTTGATATTGACTAAGTACTGAATCCCAATACATGGCCTGCTGCTACTGCTAAGTCACTTCAGTCGTGTCTGACTCTGTGCGACCCCATCCATGGGATTCTCCAGGCAAGAACACTGGAGTGGGTTGCCATTTCCTTCTCCAATGCATAGAAGTGAAAAGTGAAAGTGAAGTCGCTCAGTCATGTCCAACTCTTCGAGACCCCATGGACTGCAGCCTACCAGGCTCCTCCGTCCATGGGACTTTCCAGACAAGAGTACTTGAGTGGGGTGCCATTGCTTTCTCCAATACATGGCCTAGTGTTCTCCAAACATGTGATCCCATTGTTTCCCATTCACACAACCCCATCCCTCATTTTTTTTGCCACACCTTGGGGCATGTGGGATCTTAGTTCCCTGAGCAGGGACTGAAACTGCACCCCCTGCCATGGATGCTTGGAGTCTTACCCAGTGGACCAGGGAAGTCCCAGGAGATTTTAAATAAGCTCCAAATGTAAATAATAATAATGATGATGACTTTAAAGGATCATTTGGCTAAAAAGTCATACTGAGACACACACCATGACATTAAATATAGCAGAATATCATAAATCAAAGCTTTTAAAATAGACATATTTAAAAAAAAATAGACATATTTAGTGTACAGGATTGTATTCCAGGTAAACACAGGCTTCTTATACTGATAAATATTTAACTGCAAATATGAATACCCTAAGTTACACTTCTATATAAAGGAGAAAGTTCAAATTCTGTTCTTTAGGAAGACATGGAAGGCAAGTAATACCTTAAGAGCAGTTATTGCCATTTCTCCCCTTTCCATGGGTGATCTAACATTTTACATGGATTAGTTACAAAAGGAAATATTAGGTTCCATTGAATTTAAGTACAAGATACAGCTAAAATTTATCACTGAGAGTTTCTATGAGTGTGAATAAATAAGTTAATTAAATATGAGGTTCAAGGCAGATTCCAAAACTAACTGAAATATGACCAAAAAAATGGTATATATACCTAATAGTCAGTTAATATAATCTTTGCAATTCAGTATGTTCCAGGCTTCCTTTTCTATGCCAGTGAGATGCTTCCTTTTTGTCCAATGTCTTCCATTGCTGGGCTCCAAGACATTAAACTCTTTAACATCATCAAGGATTTATCTTAGAAACAAACAACTTCTTTCTTCTTTCTAAAGGTCATGGTTGTTTTTTCTGCTACTTGCTTCTTTCAGCTAGTCATTAACTTCCTCCTGTGAGAAAAAAGTTACTGGGCAAGAACAACCAGTCTGTGTTGGCTGTCCCACAGTGTGGTGACTGGTTAATAAAGAAGACACCAACTTAACCTTTGTGTCATTTCATTTTATCCAAAGAGTAAGACAAAAAGGTCAAGGTTACAAAGGACTCAGGACCAAGGTACAACTTTTACAAATATCTCTGAATGGCCAGGGAAAGCTTTACTTCTTCAGTCATGCCCCCAAATGAGTTCTTAATGAACCAAGAATCCCTTCCCACCCATTACGGACCTCTAAGCACAGATGCTCCAAAGATTAGTTCAATATAAAACACAGATGCTTCAGGAGAATGGACTAAAAAAGAGGAGGATGTGGAATATAAGAAAGCGTGAACAAACAAACCCTCCCAAAAATATACAGTTCACTAGGATTAAGGATATCATCGATATAAATCCCATACCAGTCCACCTTCTGAGAAACTCCTTTTTCTATTGAGAAATCAAGATATTTTCAATCGTTTGCCTTCCTTTTCCACATTCTCTCTGATACTCTGGAGTTTTCTGGAGTTCTGGATCAGGAACACCAAGCCCTCCCTAAAATCACTAGCCCCATGGTCTCTGCCAACGTTTTCAAGTTCATCAAACAAAGACAATGTCTGTTTGAGTTTGGCCTGAACGATTTTTTGCTCTTCTAATTCTGCAAGAAGGGCCTGCTTAGTGCACAATTCAGTCTTATACTTCTCCTGTAACTGTTCAATTTCTTTTTGGAGAAGGTGGAATTCTTCCTCACTGTAAGAATGTGTCTCTTGAGATTTATCTTCTGGAAGCAAGACGTTTGGGGGAATCCTCAAAATCAACTGTAAGAAGAGCTGCTCCATTTTGCCAAAAAGGTTGTCAAAACGTCCTTTCATGAAGCAAAGAAACTCTTCTGTGCACTTGCGAATCTGGACTGCACTAATTGCACAGTCTGGGGTGCCATCCAGCTTCTTTAGAATAACCTGTTCAACAGCCTGCATCACCTCAAACAGGTAGTCTTGAAAGGCAATGTAAATCCTAAGCATGCAAGTCTGCGGTGTGAAGCCAAAGAACTGGGCCTCATAGGCCATTGGATCAACAGACATCTTGGTGGTTTTTTTTTTTTTTGCTTTGTTAATTTTGATTGTGAACAACCTGCAAATGTAATAAGAAAAATTTTCATTTGTTTAAAAAAAGTAACAAATTACATTATAGACAGCAAAACCAAGTGGCAAACAAAAACCATAAAGTTTAATAAAATATTTTAATGCTTAAAAAAAAACCATGAAGTTTATGTTCCTTGATACTTGATGCTACTTCCAGCCTCACACATCCACAACAGGATACAAATCCTGCCTCTCTGACACTCTCATCAGCCTATCACCTCCCTTCTTCCTCCTCTTTGTCCATTTCCCTCATCTCTCAATTACTGAGGCTTCTGGCCCGTGGCTCAGCCTTCTAAATTCTGTTATCATCCCAGACAACATTCAGATTTACATGGATGATCTAACCAGTGCCCTAGAAACTCAGTTCTTCATCTCCACTTTTTCAGACCTTCATCTCCACTCTTTCAGTGACCTGGGTATTGACATTTGTTAACTTCTCTCTCCAACTCTCCTACTTTTTGACCACAACCTCATATGTTAGTCTTCCAACACTCATTCCTATATTCGTATTATATCTTAATCTTCAAGACTTTCAGCCCTCCAAGCCTCTCTTTTTCGTCTCTCCCACTTCACTTCCCCACTATACTTTAGGCTCCATGATCCATCACGTCAACCACTCCTTTGCCAATCTCAACCCCCTGTCCTTCCAATCTTGCTATCTGAAAAAATACCACTAGAAGGTGAGTAAGCCTCCAGTAAGCTTTACAACCCTGGCATTTTCTTAAGGGTTTGGGAGTCATTCCTTTCAAATGTAAACATCTAGGAAAATAGCATTTCTATCTCCCTGTCATTGTGGGTGTTTAACCTAGGGACCTTTTTTGAGCTGTAACCAGATACTTGTCATGGAAATAAAAGAAGTTTCATTATTCCTGCAAATTAGCTGAAACAAACGGCTACCTCAATTACCAGGCAAATTTAGGATGAACCCTATCAAACAATCTGAAGCAAGTGGTGCTGCCAAATCTTTTTATAAGACTGTGCTGTTAATCTTGAGAATTTATGTAATGGCTAAAAATAGAATGGTTCTAATAGCTTAGCAGTATAAATAGGGTAGAATTTCTGTCTCTGTAATCTCATTTACAGATTATCTCTAATGCATCATAATCTGGATATGCTTATTCAGTAATAGAACTGCTTTCTCTTCTTTGTCTTGTGGAGAGGATTCTGTGGATTAACAGGATTTTAACTTCCTCAACACTTCCCTATGCCTTCAAGATCAGTTTTAAACTTTTTCACATGGCTTACAAAGACCTTTACTAACCACTGTCCTCCTTTTTAAGTACCTTACATAAGCATAATTGAAGTGATAATACTTCTAATTTTTGCCAATCTGGTAAAATGGTTTTACAGCGTTGTTTCTTGAAAACCACAAAAACATCTAACCCCCCACCCATACACACACACACAGGTTGAACACTGAGAACTGAAACTACCAAAGTCTCCTTGCCCCACCCCCAACAACTTACTGTTCACATTAGCATGACTCTGCTATTCTAGACCAGAATAGTATTTTCATTGTCCAAATGGTTGGATTGTTCATTATGAAACCCCCAGAGACTGATGAACTCTTTAATGGGAATGCGTGGCGTGCGTGCGAGCCTGCTCTCCCCGTGTCTGACTCTTTATGTCCCATAGACTGCAGACCGCCAGGCGCCTCTGTCCATGGAATTTTCCAGGCAACAATACTGGAGTGTGTTGCCATTTCCTACTCCAGGATATCTCGCCAACAATTTGTTACAGCAAGATTCTCTGAAACTCTTGATTCAGCAGTTTCTACCAAAACTGGACTGCTTTTCATGAGCTCTACCCAATCTTAATCAAGCCTCCAAACTAAAAAAATCGACCTTAAACCAAAAGGGCCTCTCTTAGGGCACTAATCTTCAAGTCCTGCTTTCAGTTCACTTCAAGTCGCTCAGTCGTGACCGACTCTTTGCGACCCCAAGTCCTGCTTTAGGATACTATTATCACAAGCCTATCTTCTCTGCAAGCCTTAGATTTCCTGAGGGCAGGAAACCGATACGGCTTCAACCGATATTTGCAGGTGATACGCAGGAAGTACACAGGGTACCTCAGCGAGTTGAGGAGCCGAAGCTCCAGAAACCTCCAGGCAGGAACTACTTCCGGCTTGAGAACTGGCTCCCGACAGGCCCTGCGCCCCCGCTGCATGCCGGGACCTTCAGGGTGGAGGCTCGCGGCCCGCCGGCGACGCTGCTCCATCAGGCTGCTCTAGCGCCCGGGACGGCGCCCCACCGAGTGCCGCTTTCAAGTTCCCGCTCCTCTTCAGAGAAAATGCAGCCCCGTGGCACTTACCCAAGCCACTATGAGAGTGATGACTTCGACCAAACACCAGCTTCCCGCCACCTCCTTTAAACCACTGTGGGGGCCAGAGATAGGCGGCGCGGTTGACTCCCCAGATTCTGACCGCTATCTGCTTTAGCGAACGACAGCTAGGGCAGGATGCCACCGCGCTCCTGATTGGCCGACTGTCCGGGGAGGGGGCCACCTGGATTGGTGACGGAAAGAGGCCGGGCGGGAAAGCTAGCTGTGGCCGGCGGGGATTGGCAGAAGGAATCGGTACTCACTCCCTTCCCCGAGACGTTGGTGGGTGGAGAAGCTAGGTTGGGCCGCCGCGGAAACGCAACTCGTGATTGGCGGATGTGCTTTTCTTCGGGCTCTAGCGGTTGGTGGCTGGACGGTTGGTCAGCGCTGATTGGATAGCAGTGTAACGGGGAAGCCCCCCCCCCCCCGCTCTGGTTCCGCCCTGATCCCGCCCCGCCGCTGGGATGGACTGGCGGAAGGGGAAGTCGGGGGTGGGGGGGCCGGCGGCGGTGGGGAAGATGGCGTACCAGAGCCTCCGACTGGAGTACCTGCAGATCCCACCGGTCAGCCGCGCCTACACCACCGCCTGCGTCCTCACCACCGCCGCTGTGGTGAGCAGCTGCAGCGCCAGCTTCTCATGAGTTGTACTGGATATCCCCGGGTCCTCGGGAAACTGGGGTTTGGGCCTCGGGGAAGCTCAGAGGGGCTGGTCTCAAGGGTGGGTGGAGGCGTACAGGGCTCACTCTGGGGTTCAGAATCGCCCCGTAAGTGCTATCCAGTGATCCAGAAAAAGGGGTGCTGTTCCATGAGGGGTGGAGGATCAGGACTGCGGGTCAGTTTCGGAGACATAAAGGCAGGCAGGATCTGTACCAAGTCAGGGCTTCGGGAGCCGCCCACCCAGGAAACGTGTCTGAGAACTCAGAGGGTGTTCTCAGATCCACAAAATGATACTTTGTGACCACTGGGAGGAAGGTCCGCTTAGTGGAGAAACGTAGACGTGGAAGATAGAAAGATGGAAGTTGTTCGATGCATGGGACAGGGTGCTCGGGGCTGGTACACTGGTATGACCCAGACGGATGGGATGGGGAGGGACGTGGGAGGGAGGGTCAGGAGGAGGAACACATGTACACCCGTGGCTGATTCATGGCAATGTATGGCAAAACCACTACAATATTGTAAAGTAATTAGCCTCCAGTTAAAATGAATTTTAAAAGAAAGATGGAAGTTGTTGAGCGGGAAGTCTTGAAAGAAAGAGTCTGATATAGAGGTTGGCTGGAAGTACGCAGCCCTCACAGTGGCAGGGTACTGAGTCTTGGTTCGAGTGAATTGTGTTGCTTCACACAGCTGTTTTAGGTGGTGCCCACGTGTTGGGCGTAATCCTAGCAGCTGCTCTTACTTGCCCTGAATTTAAGACATTACCATCTGCCTGCCATACCTTCACATCAGCCTCAGCTATTGAAACAACAGACTTTTATTTTGTGTTTGGTATTGGGGAACTCAAAGAATTGTGCCAGTTCTAGAGAACTCTTTACCAACCTTCCTCCAGCTTAAGAAGTAAACCTTAAATAATTCAGTCTAAGTGACTGAGAGTTGGAAATTGCCAGAACTACTAGTCTTTTGTAGTAAATGATGATATTTTGTTTCTTGATTGACTTGCTTGAAGAAGCTGTTTTTCTATTTCAGCAGTTGGAACTGATCACACCTTTTCAGTTGTACTTCAATCCTGAATTAATCTTTAAACACTTTCAAGTAAGTGGCCCATCACAACCGCCATTTAATGTTGCAGTTTTTAAACTTGTTTTTCTTACTTTTTAGTAGCTAATCCTGCTACATCTCAAATAACTCTGTGGGAATATTTTATTATCAAAGTTTTTTTTTGGGAGGGGGGAGTACAAAGCAGTGATTCTGCAGCCTGGAACTTTTAAAGAGATTCTCAAGATCCTCAGCATATACCAAATCAGAATCACTAAGGGTATGTTATAAAGTTCCCTTCATGGTTTTGATTTGATGTGTCCAGTTCCTATATTTAGGAATCACTGGTTCAGATTTAGTATTATAGATTGAGAGGAGACTGGATTGGCTAGTTGTTTGGGGAGAGTCAGAGAGGATGTCCATATTTAGTCCATTCAGCACCAGGTGGCATAGTCACCACCTTGGTGTTACCCTGTGGTCCAGTTCAGAAACTCAGTGAGTGCTCTAATCCATCTCCCAGGGATCACATCATCCTCATGAAGACTGACATCTAAAACATCACCAGTTCATTAGATTACAGTGAGAGACGATCCTTTCCAGTAATTAGAATGGTAAAGAGAGATGCGTTTTTTTGTTCTCAGATCATATTGGCCATAGTCGAAGTAAGAGAGACCCAAAAGCCAGTAATTCTGTTTCTACACCTGCTGTTCCCTCTCTCAGAGGTGTTTCATTCGCTTTATACCCGTTGAGCTCCAGCTTGTCTTTCAGTAATGCAGTTTTTGTGTAGCCTTTTCAGATTCATCCTCCTTTGTGTCCCTAGAGTATCTGTAAATAATTTTTTTTATGTCTCTCATCTCATACTTGCACTTGTTTATATGCCTGTCTCCTCACAAGGTTAAGGACTCTACAATCCTGGATGCAATTAGTATGCATAGTTAGAAATTCTTAAGAATTTAATGATCACAAAGGAGTCCCATGAACCCTATCACTGCCTTCTTCCTTCTCCACTCACAAGCCCTTCACTGGGAGCTTTAGCTCCATCCAAACAAACAAAGCTTGATTTTGCCTGAGGTTAAACTCTTCACACCACGTGTGAAATTAGGAGTTCTAGGTTTGAGTTCAGAGTCTCCCTATACAAGCTGTGTGATGTTAGGCAGGCCAGATCATCCAAGTCTCTTAAGTTACATTGTATGTGAAATGGGGATGGTATTGCCAGCCTGCTCATCTCACAGGATAATTAAAATCACATGAGATAATATTTTAAAACAATTTAAATGTTAAGTGTTCTATCATTGTGAGTAGTTGTTCTTATTGCAGGCGTGGATGGTTTGGGTGGGGAAGTGTATATCAGAGTTTGAAAATAAGTACATATCTACCAGTTAAACTAATTATTACAGTATTAGATCTTTACTTGTAGTGAGCTGGCTCTCTTGTTCAGGCTAGTACTCGAGTATTTGCTTTAGAATTACTCTTTACTCTGGATGTTTCTGATGGCTAATATAGAAACAATTGCTGTTAGATCCTGTAATTTTCCTTTGGTATCTTGAGATTGTTCATTAGATTGTGATACTACATATATGAAAGCTCTGTTTCCTAGTCTACAGATTAGGAAACAGTCTAGTCTTGCCATCACACTTTTCCCATCATTTGCCTGACCATATGGTATGGATTTTTGTGTTTTTCTTTTTTTTTTTTTTTTTAATACAATCACAATTGCAAGTTTTTTGTCCTGTCAGGCTTAGAACTTTCCAGGGGTGAGTGATAACTTTCAGACTCACTGAAGCGACACAAAAATTCAGTGTCTGATTGTGTGTCTCACTTTTGAGTTTAGAAAATAGAATCACCTATTTGTGGCCTTTCCATTGTAGCCTACAACCATTGTGGTCATAGGCTATCTCTTGTCTTAATATGAAAATGTTTCTTGATATATTTTACTTAATCTGTCTTTTCTCTTGATTTTTTTTTTTCTTTTAACAGATATGGAGGTTAATCACCAATTTCTTATTTTTTGGGCCAGTTGGATTCAATTTTTTATTTAACATGATTTTTCTGTATCCTTTACTAAGTGGGGTTAGCATAGAAACTTTAGTTTTATTTAGGAAATACAGTATTAAGTTTGAAACTATTAACTTTGCTGTTTTTGTTACCATCTCAGCTGTAACTTCTGGCTACTGGCTTGGTGATACACAGAATAGTTGGTCAGTTAGTAATGTTTTGAGGGTGTTTGTAGGTCACTGTTTATTCAAATGGGAGGTATTTAATTATAAAATGCTTACATTTCTGCCCATGCGCCACTTACAGGTCTGATTAAGGGAGACCAGAGTGATTTAATTGAGATGTTGTTACAAAATAACACCAATGGGTCCCAGGTGATAAAGCCCAACCTGGAAGTGGGTTCATGGGGGATGGAGAAGTTGAGATCTACTTGGATCTCAGTTGCTGGTTCTGCCGACTGGAAGGACAGTGTTTTGTCTGCCATGCTCACCATGTTCCGGTTTGTTGAAAAAGAGGAAGGGTTTTGCTGTAGTCAGGTGGTAATTGGGGCTACTGGGCAGGGAATCTCTCCTACGCCCCAACCCCCTGGATGAAGTGGGGAATTTGCAGCTCAGCTCATTTGCAGTAGCCAGAGAGCCTTGTAGGGGTAACAGGCTTCCTGCCCTGGGATGGATTCCTGTGTCTTCTCTATGTTACATCATTCTGGTAAGTTTCTAATAATTAAGTTTTTTCATTGAAATACCTCCTTATTGACTGAAGTATAGAAATGCTTAACTTCCTGGCCTTAAAAAAAGCAGATTATCACATGAGGCTTCTTGATGGGAATTTCCACCAAGTTAGGTTGTGAAAAAGCAAGGATGGTGTAGATTGTGGTGTGGCTGAATGTGGGAAGACAGTACAGATTTGAAGCACATTTATGTGGCATCTGGCTTCATTCCCCAATCAGGAACGGTTTTTGTAAAACACAGAGCCATTGCCTAGAATGCCTGGAAAAAGAAGTAACAATAATACCACTCATAAACATTCTTACAGAAACAAAGTCTTGACATCTCACAAATAACAGGGAGTCCAAGTGTACTTAGGTGATACATTCAATTTCACTTTCTTCATATTTGTGTACTTAATATTTTCTTAACTTGGAACTTAAGATATCGTTACTGTCGAATGCTAGAAGAAGGCTCTTTCCGAGGTCGGACAGCAGACTTTGTATTTATGTTCCTTTTTGGTGGATTCTTAATGACTGTATCCTTCGACGAATAGAACAAATACAGGAAAATAACTAAAGAACTCCCTCTCTCTCTCTAAAGCTTTTCGTCTGTCTCCTGAAGTGCACTAAAGGCTAGAGACCGGCATGAACATATAAAAGTATCAACTCTCTGCACCCGCACCACCCCTCTCCCTCTCCATTTTAGCTTCAGGCTCCTGTTTATTTTACAGCCCACTTCATGTAACAGCTTGTCTAAGCCTAGAGGTTGCACAGGGTGTTTTTCCACTGTGAGCAAGCCTGAGAAACTTTAACCCAGTTGGGTTACTATTAGAAATCTTGGGTGTGTTCTGGTTGGTGGGTGTACTTCACTTTTCTTTTTATTCAACTGTGCCACAGGGCTTGTGGAATCCCAGGTCCCTGACCAGGGAATGAACCCAGGCCCTTGTCAGTGAAAGCATGGAGTCAAAACCACTAGACTGCCAGGGACTCCCCAGGTATACTTCACTTTTAAATTAAGCTGGTAGGACATTTATTTGGTCACCATCAAAACTGATAGTTTTGTGGTTTTTTTTTAAATAATAATTGTCACCAAACTTAAAGGGAGCCCTGTCTGACAAGATGGTTTTGCCCCAGCTGGCTTGATTCACCTCTAAGAGTCCTCATGGTGAATGAGCTTTCATGTAATGACTGATCAAAGAGGCAAGAACTTCATGAAAGCAGAATATTAATTTGAAGTAGCAACAATCCAGGTGTCTAAGCAGGTTTTTGCCTCATCACTCTGGGTAATTATTTTCAGGCTCCCCCCCACACACATGTAACGACCACTTGCCTTTCCTAATGCAAACTTGTGTTAGAGTACAATCCTTAGTTCTCTTGCCCAGTCTTCTCTGTTAACACTTAATGTTGCTATTTTCCTTAATGCCAACCACTAGCTTTTTGGTTTGTTTGTGAGCTTAGTTTTCTTGGGCCAGGCCTTTACAATAATGCTTGTCTACGTGTGGAGCCGGAGGAACCCATACGTCCGCATGAACTTCTTCGGCCTTCTGAATTTCCAGGCCCCCTTTTTACCCTGGGTGCTCATGGGCTTTTCCTTGTTGTTGGGGAACTCAATCATTGTGGACCTCTTGGGTAAGATTCTTGGCAGTACTTTTTCTGTTATTTTACTTACAAACTTATTCTGTCATACTTGTCATGTTAATTCTATCTGGCCTTCATATAAGTTATTGTAGGATTGTTTCATAGTTATATGCTCAAGGACTATAATGTTCATTTTCAACTTTTTCATAAATATATTACCAGCTGAGCTGCCAGGGAATCCCAGTATATTGACATTTCTTCCTAAGTAGAAAGATTTTCCATTGGTACAGATATCTGCAATCAAAATTCTAATCCTCTCCCTCTTCCTTTACTTCTGGTTGACTCTAGGTATTGCAGTTGGACACATATATTTTTTCTTGGAAGATGTATTTCCCAATCAACCTGGCGGAATAAGAATTTTGAAAACACCATCTGTTTTGTGAGTATTTAACACCAGGTTATGTGTTTCTTGCAGATAAACCAGGGCAGGGTCCAGGATCTTGTTTTCTGGGGGCTCCCAAAGCTCCCAGCACACATAGTTCAGGCCAATAAATATTTACAGATTGGGCAATCCGGCTGCCGTTGGGGAACATTCAGGTTGGGTGGGAAGCGCAGGAGTTGTGGCCAAAGGCTCAGGGTGTCCCGAGGGTAACGTGGTAATTGTCCCACATGACCACCAGCACCTCCTGGCCCGAGGAGGAGCCTGCTCATTCCGTGTAGACTGCTGTCTTAGTTTAGAGATGTGAAGTAGCAAGATGGCAAGAAGCTGACCAAACGAGGGTTTCTAAAGGTGGAATGTCTGGTCTTCCAAACAGGTGGTAGAGAGAAGCAGTGAAGTAGAGTAGAAACAGCTCTCGGCTCAAAACCAGACATAGGCTGTTTGTGCTGCCAGCCAGCTATGTGATTTTAAGCAAGCCCCTTCTCCTTTTTCCATACCTTGGTGTCCTAAGGGTAGAGCTTTGATTCATAGCACCTCCTTCTATGCCAGAATTTTGTGTCCTTGGGGTGTACTGCATTACAAAGAGTTCACTTAAGGAATAAAATGTGAGTTCTTCTTATAAAATGTTGGTTGTAGAATAACTGAAAGAAGAAAGTAAAATGTGCCATAACCCCACCACTTAGATATAACAGTGGTGGGATTTGATGCACTTTTTGATATGTATTCATCAGTCTTTTACTGTCTGTAAACTTTTTTAAAGTGCTATCTCATAGCTTTCTAATGTAATATAATCATTTTTCCATCATAAATTTCTGACAGAAATTATAACAGCTTCATGATACCCCCAGTATGAATGGAACACAATTTACGAATCCCTCATCAATGGACATTGACGTCCTTGTTCTTCCCTCCATGATTGGAGTGGTGAATGTCCTTGTAGCTACACATTTGTGTAGCACATGTAGTGGCACATCCTTTGCACACTTCATGCTTGTTTTCAAAGGATAAATTCCTACGAGTAGAATAGCTGTTTGGTTTATCACCAAACTGCCATCTGGAATGGATACTCAGGTTTACATTTCCACCAGCATCATATGTGTCCATTTCCCCACAATGTCATAAAATGTGGGAGAAGTTGTATTTACCTTTTCCTAGTTTCATAGCTGTAAAGTGGTGTCTTCTTGTTTTCTATTATTCTTTTTCTAAAATTTCAAAACAGTTTCAGACTTGCAGAAACTTGCAAAACAGTACAAAGGACTTTTTTCCTTTAAGTGTTTGAAAGTGAATTGTTAACCTACTGCCCCATGATCCCCTTTAATGTGTATTTTCTTGTACATAGTCAAAATCTGGAAGGAAACGTTAATCCTCAGACCCAATTCCACTTTGGGAAATTGTCCTGATTTTTTATAGCAGAAGAATGCAGTTCAGATTCAGGCGTTGCACTTCGTTGTCATGTCTGTTTAGTCTCCTTCCATTTGGAGCAGCTTCTCAGTTTTGCTCTGACCCTCATGACATTCACATTTTTGAAGACTGTAAGCCCATTTTCGTAGAACATCTCTCAGTTTGGGTTTGTCTGATGTTCCCTCACACTGAGGTTCAGGTTTTTCGTCTGCTGCAGGAATATCAGAGAAGTGATACTGCATTATAATTGCAGCTGCTGGCACAGGGTTTCAGTTTGTTGAATTTGCCAGAGTGGTGCTAATCACTTTGATTACTTGATTAAGGTATGTGCAGGGCTTCTCCACGGCAAAGTTACTTTTTTTCCTCCTTGTCATTAAATATTTTGTGAAGAGGTACTTTGAGACTATGGAAAACATCCTTTTTCTTATAAAATTTGAGTTCATTTATATCTGCAAGAATCCATGATTTCTTGTTTTATTCATGGCTTATAATCCCTTAACATTGTTATTTTGATGCTTATATTGTCCTACTGGCTCTGAAGTACTTCTCAACATGTGTGATCTAACTTTTGTAAAATTTCATATGTAAACATTTTGGAAGAATATTGAAAACAACATAATTATCTCTGGGGATTGAGGATGTCTTTTTTGTATATGTTTCCTGTTTTCTCTACGATTCCATATATTGCTTTTGTAGTAAAAATTAGTAAAGGAGGTAAAAGTTAATGTAAATGTGCAATAATTATGAATACCTTCAAAATAGGAGAACTGTTTCATTGGTAGGCAGACGACATACTTATCCATTGGCAGACACCCTGTGGGATCTTTTTGATCTCAGAGTAGCATTTAGGATCTAAGATGACCCTGGGACTAAATTATATCTGTTGCCTGTCTTTTAGGAAGGCTATTTTTGATACACCAGATGAAGATCCAAATTATAATCCACTACCTGAAGAGCGGCCAGGAGGTTTTGCCTGGGGTGAGGGCCAGCGCCTGGGCGGCTAAAGCGGCAGTGCCAAGAACACGACCCAGCTGGTTCGGACTCAGTGACACACCCATTGGGATTCTTTTATCCTCTGTGTTGCAGAAGCGTGGACACTTTTGACAGCTCAACAAGAATTTTAACTCCAGAAGCACTTTATGAAATGGCCACTGATTCACCCAGAAGACATTTCCAGCAGTTCGCCAGTGGCTCCTCACTACGCTGGTACTGAATGTGTGATCTCTCGGAGCCAAAAAACTGGAGCAACAAATACCCTGCCACCTCTTAAGGACCTGATACTTGAGTTCTGTGGTGACGGGCAGAGTGTTTTCCTCTTCTTCCTCCTCCTCTGTGATAGACGAGGCCGTGGTGTAAATGGAAGTTTCAGAGAGGACGAAATAAAACTGAATTCCATCTCTCTCTCACTGAATTAAAGCTTTTGTGTGTGATCTTTTAAATTACCACCGTGTCTCCTAGCTCTCCTGCACAGGTCTGCGCTCAGAGCAGTCTCCATGCCTGCTCTCCCTGTGTCTTCGTGGCCTTCGACTGGATTTCATTTCAAGATTGGAAATACATGGCCGAGATGCCATGGCTGTGCACACCTCTTACTAACCCAGAATGCCAGCTCCAGTGGGAAGAAGATTTGTTTCTGTTGCCCAGATAGCTTGTTCTCCATTTGGGTTTTCTGATACTTCAAGGATCAGACAATGTGGGGCAAGGGGTGGAAGGGGAAGGACAGGATGGATCTAGGTGTTCTAGATCCTGGAATCCTGCTGTGGGAGAGTCAGGTAGGCTTGATGCTAATGTGGCATCCCGTTTATTACTCCATCTGAAAATATCCAGGGAAAGGCACGTCACAGCCACCATTTTGGAAAACAACATTTAAAGTTGGAAACGAGTTAGAATGTTGATTCTGGAGCCAGATAAGTAAATACAAGGATACATAACTCCTGGGTCTTTGGCTTGTGAATATTTATCACTTGCTTCATGAAAAGCCAAGAAGCCTTCAGAGCCAAGTACCTGGTTTACCTTCTTAACCAGGTAGAAACAGGACAGGTTCACAGAAGTCAGCAGCGGTTCAGTAAGTACTTACCCCAGATGTTCACTTCCTGGGGGCTCAACAAGTTTGTTATCAGACTGTGTAAGTAATTCAGAGAACTCAGAAGGATAGAATGAATACCCCAGAAAAGAGATTAGTTCAAACTGTTTTAATAAACAGCATGTAGGTCTGGAAATATTTCCCCATACTTCCAGCTTGGTTAAGTGGTTGCTTTCTAGAGTGGGAGAGTTCTCTTAGAAAGATGGACATGAGGTTTAGGTTAAACATAATAAACATCTTAAATGGGAATTTTCAGATCATTTGTGAAGTGAAAAGTATTTGTCATACCTTTCAATGGAATACACATCAGTAGTGGAACCCAATATAAGTACATGCTGCTAGTCAGTAACTGAATATGGTTGTTGCAATTTTATGGAATGTGGGTTAATGGGACTGCTTTTTTTTTCCCTAAGTGACTTTAAAAAAAAATCTTTAAATGCCAATCTTAGACTATATAGTCCTTATGGGAGTCTTAAGTTTTGTCTGTTCAAGAAAGCTTGAATTTAATTAGAAGATTGGGTTTTTGTTTGGGGGCTAGAAATAAATTTCTCTAGTTAAATTTGTTCTCCTTTAGTTAACTTTGGAATTAGGTTCTTCCAGAACACACGTCGTCTTCTTAATTCAAGTCAACCAAAAAGTGAGATTTGATGCATGGAATTGCGTGACTAATTTACCTGACATACATAGAATTTAAAGGATTCCTGGATTCCACCCGTAATACTGAAAGGTGCACCTGACTAAGGCATAGCTTTTTTGTTGTAGAAGTACAGTATATGTTTATTTAAAAAAAAAAAAAACATGGACATGCAAATTGCATCTCCATAGGATATACACTTTATACATTTTGATGTGTTTTTTCCACTATGGATTTCTCTTTGTTTCTCCCTTCCACTTGTCCTTTTCCCTGTGTGTCCCTCTTGTGTGTCCTAGTATCTTTCACACCTCTTGTTTAGTCTCTAAGCAGAGAGCACCCAAGTCTTAGATCTTGGTAACGAAACCCTCACTCTGTCTCTGGGGCCTTTGAAAGTTAGGAAATGTTGGTGTTACTGACTTGTTGGGTAAAGGACCTCCTAGAATTGTCATCTGTCCTTGATAGCAGGCATTTTATGTTGCGACTGTGTTTTCCTTTAACAGGTAAGTGCCATCCATGTTGCTAGTCATGATATTGCCATTGTTTTCAGTGTTCTGTAGTCTGTCTATCCCTAAACTACTTACTGTTTTACAAGTTTGCATAAAATTTGTTGCACTTTGTATAATCAAGTCACTTCTCTGCTCAGAAATCCACAGTAACTTCTTAGTAAGCTCCCATAGGAAATGCATACTTTTTGTCTTCCTCTAGACCGCAACTCCTACTTCTAGCTAACAGGGACCTCAATTTAATTCTCTTCAGTCCTTCAAGGCCTGGCCCAATTCCTGGCTCCTCTGCAAACCTTGACTGTAGGGCCTATCTCATTGTCTATCCTCTCTGAATTCTTAGGACCCTTCCCGGCTGTGCAACACACTCTGAGACCAAACTGTCTTGTATTGTTCTTAGCTGGTGCGTGTGTATTGGTCTCGTCTCCTTCCTGAGAATGTGAGCTCCTTAAGAGCAGGGACCGAGTCTTACATTTTGGTATCTACCACAGTGCCTAGCACAATGCTTGGCACATGGGTGCTGAATAAATACTTTATTGGTCAGCAAACTATTATCTGGTATTTTTAATTATAGAGGGACTGATGTATGTGCATGCAAGCTTGTACCTATTTGCTGTGGCTTGTGACTATGTCAAAGTGGGATGGAGCACAACTGAGCATGATCAAGGGCAGGGTTTGGTGGTCTGACAAGCCAGCCAACAATGACCGCCAGCTGGTGTGGTCATGGTCATGCTCTGCTGGTGTGGACCATTGCAGAGCAGTTAAGAATGACGTCTCTGACAATTCACCTTTTAGAAGAAGAGCCCAGATGCTCCTTGAAGAGCTATTAGCTTATAACCATCTGTATGTGAAAGCCACCTACTTTCAGAGAGAGAGAGCCTCTTTCAGACTACTAACCTGAGGAATTGGAGGAGGGGATAATGTATGTAACACCACTTAATGCCAATAGAGGATTTTATTTTCCAACACTGTTCTACTTAGCTCTGAGGCTTCAGAATAGCTGGGTCATTAGGCTAGGGATTATGAATGAATTACCTGTGCATATGACTTGTTTTGCCTGCATCATGTTTTGTTTTCTTTCAATTTGAGCCAATATTAAATTCACAGATTTCGCATGGAAACCTTCATTTGGGGCTTTTCTTGAAAAAAACTCAAAGCTCTGGAAAAACCAGGCCTGCATGGCAGCTATGGCCTAGAGATGACTAGTGGCTGTTTCTATAGACAGGTTCTTGCTCTATTAAGAGGCTATTTCACTTGTTGATATCTCCTGCCAGGTACTCTTGTAACCATGTGCAGCCTGTCTCCTCCCTTAGGTTACTCTGGAAAGCACAGCAGGGAAAAAGGACTGAGGTCTTTTTTATACTCTAAGTCCATAATTTGAGACTTAACATTTAGATATCACTCAGTTCAGTTCAGTCACTCAGTCGTGTCCGACTCTGCGACCCCATGGACTGCAGCACACCAGGCCTCCCTGTCCATCACCAACCCCCAGAGTTTACTCAAACTCATGTCCATTGAATCAGCAATGCCATCCAACCATCTCATCCTCTGTCATCCCTTTCTCCTGCCTTCAATCTTCCCCAGCATCAGGTTCTTTTCAAATGAGTCAGCTCTTCACATCAGGTGGCTAAAGTATTGGAGTTTTCAGCTTCAACATCAGTCCTTCCAATGAACATTCAGGACTGATTTCCTTTAGGATTGACTGGTTGGATCTCCTTGAAGTCTAAAGGACTCTCAAGAGTCTTTTCCAACACCACAGTTCAAAAGCATCAATTCTTCAGTGCTCAGCTTTCTTTACAGTCCAACTCCACATCTATACTTGACCACTGGAAAAACCATAGCCTTGACTAGACGGACCTATGTTGGCAAAGTAATGTCTCTGCTTTTTAATATGCTGTCTAGGTTGGTCATAACTATCCTTCCAAGGGTTAAGTGTCTTTTTATTTCATGGCTGCAATCACCATCTGCAGTGATTTTGGAGCCCAGAAAAATTAAGTCTCACTGTTGCCACTGTTTCTCCATCTATGTGCCATGAAGTGATGGGACTGGATGCCATAATCTTTGTTTTCTGAATGTTGAGCTTTAAGCCAACTTTTTCCACTCTCCTCTTTCACTTTCATCAAGAGGCTCTTTAGTTCTTCACTTTCTGCCATAAGGGTGGTGTCATCTGCATATCTGAGGTTATTGATATTTCTCCCAGCAATCTTGATTCCAGCTTGTGTTTCATCCATCCCAGTGTTTTGCATGATGTACTCTGCATAGAAGTTAAATAAGCAGGGTGATAATATACAGCCTTGATGTACTCCTATTCCTATTTGGAACCAGTCTGTTGTTGCATGTCCAGTTCTAACTGTTGCTTCCTGACCAGCATACAGATATTTCAAGAGGCACATCAGGTGGTCTGGTATTCCCATCTCTTTCAGAATTTTCCACAGTTTATTGTGATCCACACAGTCAAAGGCTTTGGCATAGTCAATAAAGCAGAAATAGATGTTTTTCTGGAACTCTCTTGCTTTTTCAATGATCCAATGGATGTGGGCAATTTGATCTCTGGTTCCTCTGCCTTTTCTAAAACCAGCTTGAACATCTGAAAGTTCATGGTTCATGTATTGTTGAAGCCTGGCTTGGAGAATTTTGAGCATTATTTTGCTAGCGTGTGAGATGAGTGCAATTATGCAGTAGTTTGAGCATTCTTTGGCATTGCCTTTCTTAGGGATTGAAATGAAAACTGACCTTTCCAGTCCTGTGGCCACTGCTGAGTTTTCCAGATTTGCTGGCGTATTGAGTGCAGCACTTTCACACCATCATCTTTCAGGATTTTAAATAGCTCAACTGGAATTGCATCACCTCCACTAGCTTTGTTCATAGTGATGCTTTCTAAGGCCCCCTTGACTTCACATTCCAGGATGCCTGGCTCTAGGTGAGTGATCACACCATCGTGATTATCTGGGTCGTGAAGATCTTTTTTGTACAGTTCTTCTGTGTATTCTTGCCACCTCTTCTTAATATATTCTGCTTCTCTTGGGTCCATACCATTTCTGTCCTTTATTGAGCCCATCTTTGCATGAAATGTTCCCTTGATATCTCTAATTTTCTTGAAGAGATCTCTAGTCTTTCCCATTCTATTGTTTTCCTCTATGTCTTTGTATTGATCACTGAGGAAGGCTTTCTTATCTCTCCTTGTTATTCTTTGGAACTCTGCATTCAAATGGGTGTATCTTTCCTTTTCTCCTTTGCTTTTTGCTTCTCTTCTTTTCACAGCTATTTGTAAGGCCTCAGACAGCCATTTTGCTTTTTTACATTTCTTTTTCTTGGGGATGGTCTTGCTCCCTGTCTCCTGTACAATGTCATGAACCTCCATCCATAGTTCATCAGGCACTCTTATCAGATCTAGTCCCTTAAATCTATTTCTCACTTCCACTGTATAATCGTTAGGGATTTGATTTAGGTCATACCTGAATGGTCTAGTGGTTTCCCTACTTTCTTCAATTTAAGTCTGAATTTGGCAATAAGGAGTTCATGATCTGAGCCACAGTCAGCTCCCGGTCTTGTTTCTGCTGACCGTATAGAGCCTCTCTATCTTTGCCTGAAAAGAATATAATCAATCTGATTTCGGTGTTGACCATCTGGTGATGTCCAAGTGTAGAGTCTTCTCTTGTGTTTTTGGAAGAGGGTGTTCACTGTGACCAGTACATTCGCTTGGCAGAACTCTATTAGCCTTTGCCCTGCTTCATTCTGTGTACTCCAAGGCCAAATTTGCCAGTTACTCCAGGTGTTTCTGGACTTCCTACCTTTGCATCCCAATCCCCTATAATGAAAAGGACATCTTTTTTGGGTGTTAATTCTAGAACATCTTGTAGGTCTTCACAGAACCGTTCAATTTCAGCTTCTTCAGCATTACTGGTCGGGGCATAGACTTGGATTATCTTGATATTGAATGGTTTGCCTTCGAACCGAACAGAGATTCTGTCATTTTTGAGACTGCATCCAAGTACTGCATTTGGACTCTTTTGTTGACTATGATGGCTAACCAATCTAATCACATGGGCCACAGCCTTGTCTAACTCAATGAAACTATAAGCCATGCCATGTAGGGCCACCCAAGATGGACAGGTCATGGTGGGGAGTTCTGCCAAAATGTGGTCCACTGGAGAAGGGAATGGCAAACCACTTCAGTATTCCTGTCTTGAGAACCCCACGAACAGTATGAAAAGGCAAAAGGATAGGATACTGAAAGATGAACTCCCCAGGTCGGTAGGTGCCCAATATGCTACTGGAGATCAGTGGAGAATAACTCCAGAAAGAATGAAGAGTTGGAGCCAAAGAAAAACAACACCCAGTTGTGGATGTGACTGGTGATAGAAGCAAGGTCCGATGCTGTAAAGAGCAATATTGCATAGGAACCTTCAATGTTAGGTCCATGAATCAAGGCAAATTGGAAGTGATTAAACAGGAGATGGCAAGAGTGAACGTTGACATTTTAGGAATCAGCGAACTAAAACGGACTGGAATGGGTGAATTGAACTCAGATGACCATTTAGATATCACTATAGTCTGAATATTTATGTCCCTATAAAAGTCATGCTGCAATCCTCATGATTGATGTGATGGTATTAGGAAGTGAGGCCTTTGGGAGGTAATTCAGTCACAAAGTGGAAGCCTCATGAGTGAGATTAATTCCTTACAAAATAGCTCCAGAGAGATTCCAAGCCCCTTCCATCAAGTAAGGACACAGCAGAAGGGTGTCAGCAGGACTTCCCTGGTGGTCCAGTGGTTAAGACTCCGAGGGTTGGATCCCCAGAGGGGGAATTAAAGATCCTACATGCCACAGAACAACTTAGCCCATGTGCCACAACTATTGAGCACACGCCACAACTAGAGAGTCCACGCACAGCAACAAAAGATCCCACATGCCACAACTAAGACCTGAGGCAGCCATATATTATATATAAAGTAGCAGCAATGAACCAGGAAGATGGCCCTCACCAGAAGGCAACCAGGCTGGTACCTGCAGAGCTGTGAACAATAAATTTCTGTTATTTATAAGCCACCAGCCTGTGGTATTCTGTAAGAGCAACCTGGAAGGACTAAGGCAGTTATTTCCCTTTTAGTTTGGGGTTGACTTTCTAAATTAATATTTAGGGGAAAGGAATTAAAAATAAATTTATCCTTAAATACTGGTTTCCCAGGTGGTGCTAGTAATAAAGAATCTGCCTGCCAATGCAGAAGACACAAGAGATGCGTGTTCAATCCTTATGTCGGGAAGAGCCCCTGGAGAAGGAAATGGCAACCCACTCCAGTATTCTTGCCTGGAGAATTCCATGGACAGAGGAGCCTGGCAGGCTACAGTCCACAGGGTCACAAAGGGTTAGATATAACTGAGCAACTGAACACACACATTCTTAAATACATATCTGCTATTAGTTCAACACGCACATTTTCAGTAGCTCCTGGTCACTATGCCATCAACAACTGGAGGAAAATTACCTCTGATCTGGAGGAAAGGGGAAGGAGAATTTTTAACAGGTTCACAAACAGGGAAAGTCTCATGGAAATGAACTTTAGAAGGTGCCTGATGTCTTTAACGTGAGTTGAAGCTTACCATGAATTCTCTGGAAATCGCTTTTCCTGGACATAGAGCAAACAGCTACTTGCCAGTTTTTCTGTGGCGAATTAGCAAATCCTCTAAGAGTTTTGAATTTAGGAGGGGAAGGAGGAACTAATTCTATCCTATTTCCCGCTGGAGTTCTAAATCTTTTCATTGATTGTCATGTGTATGATGAGACTGGGAGTCCTGTAAAGAACTTGAGAGTCTGGCAGGAATAGTCAGGGAAAGGAAGGGTAAAAGATAATTTTAGTTCCATCAGACTTCCTCTTCCCGTTTGTGTTACAGGAGCGGATCACCTCCATTGGGATAGCTACTTTCTGAGGAGAATGTATGATTTTCCCAGAATATATCATGCATTTCCTTCTTTTTCTGTAACAGAAGATGATCGCAAGTATCCGTTTCAACCTTAAGTTACTGTTACATCTGAGTCATCTCAGAGTCTCAGCTTCTTCATCTGTAAAATGGGGATGACATAAGTATCTAGTATATAACATCAGTTGTTTGGAGGACTAAATAATGCAAATGTTTGTGTGTTCCTCACAGGGTTTCTCCGATAGCTCAGTTGGAAAAGAAGCCGGCTGCAATGCAGGAGATCCTGGTTGGATTCCTGGGTTGGGACGATCCGCTGGAGAAGGGATAGACTACCCACTCCATTCTTCTTGGGCTTCCCTTGTGGCTCAGCTGATAAAGAATCCGCCTGCGATGAGGGAGACTTGGGTTCGATCCCTGGGTTGGGAAGATCTCCTGGAGAAGGGAAAGGCTACCCGATCCAGTATTCTGGCCTAGAGAATTCCATGAACAGTATACTCCATGGGATCGCAAAGGGTCAGACACAACTGAACGAGTTTCACTTGTGTATTCCTCATTAATTTTAAAAAATTCAACACTTTCTTGACGAGCGAGTATTATTGTGGCAGAGAAAGGGAAACGTGTGTTTACTGGAAAGAAATAGTGTTAGCAGGGCAACAAAACAGACTACAAACCCGTGGTTGCTATGCAGTTAGGTTCCGCGGAACCGTACACACCGTCTTTCACTGTTGTCGCTCCGGATCTTTTTCCAGTTGTACCTCAGACTCTGATCTCCCCGCCCTCAGGAAGTGAAAGCCTCGCCACGCTGTCAAGTGCATGCTGGGAGCTGGAGTCCCCCTAAAGGCTGCCGGTGAACGTGAGGTGAGCCGCGTCGCTGGGAGCCTCTAGCACGTGGCGGGAAGGGGCGGTGCGCACTAGCTGTCTGCTCCCGAGAGCCGCGGGAGCTGCCCGCCCTCGCGTCTCGCGTCGCGGCGCCTCCAGTCGCTGTGCCCTCCCGACATGCCCGAGGAGGCGGGCTTCCCGCCCGCCAAGAAATTCCGGGCGAGCGCCGGGCCTCCGAGCCGCACCGGGTCCTGCCCTCCCGGGCGGCGTGTGGTGATGCTGCTGGCCGCTGGCGGCGGCGGAGGAGGTGGAGGCCGGAGGCAGCAGCCGCCCCTGGCCCTGCCCTCGGCCAGCCCCTACCCCGAGGCCGTGGAGAAGCAGCGCCGGAATCTGCCCATCTTCCAGGCGCGAGGCCAGCTGTTGGCCCAGCTCCGAAACCTGGACAGCGCCGTCCTTATCGGTGAGTGACCGTGCCGACGGGTCCTTCTTCGCTCCCCGTTCGTTCTCTTGAGAGAACAGCTTTTCTTAGGTGGCTTCTCACCGTCTTTCATCCGTTTCTGCAACAAACCTGACCGCCTATTTCTGTTCGGAGCCAGAGAAGGGCCTCGGAAGAGAGTCGGACAGTCCCCCTTTCTGGAGGTGCTCACAGTCCGGGCGAGTGACCACACGTTAGGCAAAAACTCGCCTTCTGGGCCGGAAGGGTAGAGGGATGTACCGAAGACTTGGGGGAGTTTAGAAAAGTGGATCTGAGCCGGTCAGGAGGGGACGGCAAGGGGGTGGACTTAGAAAGGCGTTGGACACAGGAGAGAGCCTGCGGTACAAGAGACGAAGTGGAGACGAGACAGTCCAGTCTGAGGGAAGAAGTAGTTTCTCGTGCATTAATTGAGGCAGAGTTGAGGGCCGGGAACCGATTGCAAGGGGCTTTGATCCCCAACGTCTTAAGTAAGAGGAGCCCCTGAAAGACGGAGAGGATGAGCCTCCAAAGAGGAGATCCAGGAGAGCTGATAGTCTAAGGAACAGAGATGTTAAGAAGAAGGCAGCAAACAAATGCAAAAATGAAGTCCAGTAAGCAGGGACCCCAAAAATGCCCACTGGATTGGGTGGGAGTTTTTGACTGGGGATGGAGGTGAGCGCTGTTTTGGCAGAGCTGTGGGATGGGAACTGATATGTCATTGCGCTGGAAGTGAGGAGGTCATGAAGGCAGTGGGAACAGACTTCTGTTTCGAGAAGAAGCAGGGGGACCTAGCAGAACTTGCAGGTCTTCATAGGTTAAGGGGAAGAACTCAGTAGAGAGGGAGGCTGAAGATGGAAAGTGGGCACTGACAGCAGAGATGGAGGGCGTGGGGAAAGGGGGCCCTTGGCAACAAGGGTTAGAGCTGGCACTGGCCTGGAATAGAAGGAAGGCGGTGCAAGAGGTTAGGGGACTGGAGGAAGGTGGTAAGAATGGGGTGACTGCAGAAGAGCTTGTAGGAGGAGATGGAGGGAGACTGTCTCTGAGGATTTCACTTTTTCTATGAAGTAGGTGCAGGAGCTCTTCTGAGAATGGGACTTAAGGGGTCCTTGGGGAGGATGGGGACAGAGGAAAGGGGCTGCAAAAACAAGAACAAGGATCAGCTGTGGTGCTGGCACCCAGGTGCATTTGGCCCCATGGCAAACTAAGGTCGTTGTCAGCCCAGTTGGGTTATTTCACTATAGTGATGCTCAGTTTCTTTATTATTATTATTATTTTAGCTGCACAAGGTTTTTGATTGTGGTGCTCTGGCTTCTTTGGTTGCAGAGCACAGACTCTAGAGCTCCGGTTTAGTAGTTGCGGTCCTTGGGCTTAGTTACTTCGCAGCATGTAGGATCCTACTTCCACCAGGGATCGAACTTGCATTCCCTGCCTTGGAAGGCGGATTCTTAACCACCGGACCACCAGGGAAGTCCCCAGTGCTCAGTTTCTTGGTGTAGGAGCAGAAGAGATGGGCAGGGAGACTTTGATCGAAGTTTGGGTTTTGCCTGATGAACTCAGTAGGAGAAGTGCAAGATAATCAAGTTCTTCATCCACAATTCATGTCCAGGTCAGGAAGGATGAGCCACAGGGGAGAAAATGGAAGGACGATGGGCCTGTAGGACTCGGTGGGGCGGGGGCGGAGGGGTACTGGTAGTGTGGAGGGAGGGATGCCCAGGCTTACAGTTCTTTGTTCTGGTTGGGTGCTGGGAAGGAAACACAGGAGGGTAGTAATAAGGTTGGGTGCTTACTGTGTGTAGTGCTCAGGTACATGAAAGAGACAGGCTTCTGTCCTCCCAGGACTTCTGATGCTAGAGGCAAACAGAAACGTTTCAACACTCTTACACAGTGTAGAGTGATCAGTGATGGAGGAGAGATGAACGAGGCACTAAGGAACACAGAGGCGGGTGCAGCCCTTGAGGAGAAAGTTTGAGGTCTAATTCATCTTGTGGAGTTTGTCACGCAGGCAGTGTGGGAGCAGATACTTCATAATCGAGTGGGCAAAGGCAGAGGGTTTGAAAGGAGGTAGCAGGGTGGGTGAGGGAGGAATCAGCTATGGCTGCAGTGTCGGAACAGATGTCTTTTCATGTCAGTACATTTATATCTCATTTATCCCTTCGAAAAGTAGGACTTTTTATATAAAGGCTGTATTTCACTGTATGTCTTTACTGTACCAGTTACTATTGCTAACCATTTACATTGTTTCCAAATTTAACTGCCATGAGCAAAGGTGAATAAAACACTTTTGAAGCTGATTCTTTATACACATCATTATTTCCTTAGAGTCAGTTCCTGCAAGTGGAATTGTGGGTCAAGAGTATAAACATTTTAAAGATTTTCCTACTATAGTTTGACCTTCTGAGAAGCAATTCCAGTTAACACTCCACTAGCAGTATTCATGGGTGCATATTTTCCCATGACTTTATCAACGTATTTTCTTTCTTTTCTCTAATATTTATTTATTTTATTTTGCTGTGCTGGCTCTTAGTTGCAGCCTAGGGATCTGTAGTTGGGGCACGCAGGATCTAGTTCCCTTACCAGGGATTGAACCCAAGCCCCCTGCTTTGGGAGTGCTAGGGAAGTCCCTCAAGTATTCTTATGTCTTTTCCTTCTGACTTTGATCTGTTGGGGTTTGTTGTTGTTGTTGTTCAGGTTTAAATGAGACTTTTCTTCTTTCCTAGGGGAAACAGGCTCGGGGAAGACAACACAGATTCCTCAGTACCTGTACGAAGGGGGGATTGGCCGCCAGGCCATCATTGCTGTGACCCAGCCTCGTCGAGTGGCTGCCATCTCTCTGGCTGCCAGAGTCTCTGATGAGAAGAGAACAGAACTTGGGAAGCTGGTACCTAACTTCTTTTTCAGTAACAGTTCTTGGTCCCCCACACCTCACTCCCCTCTTCCCCTGCCACCTCCCTGACCTTTTTATTTTTCTAAACAAGACTACTTATACATCTCAAGCTTCTTTCTTTTTTTTTTTGCCAAGTTTCTTTCTTGCCACAGTTGTTTCAGTCTCAGAGTTCTTTATTAGTTCCTTAGACATCAGAGGGTCTATCAGTCCCATTTGCTTTGCTTTCAAAGTCTGTTGGCAAGTAGAATAAATTAGTTGTTTTCCTTGAGCATGTTTAAGGCTTCAGTAACACTTGCTAGGTCTCTTTTTTTTTTTGGCCAGGTCTCTTTATCTATATATCTTTCTACAAACTTGTAAGTATTTTCCTAGCATATAGGTGGTTATTGAGAATGAGTTCCAGAAGCGTATGTAAGTCAGATTTGTGTTCATGGATTTGACTTCAAAACATCTTGGGCATCTTTTCACTTGTGTATGTAGCTTCACTTGAAGTGGCTGAGGGGAGGGGACTAGTGTTACATTCTTCGCAGAGTTTCTCATCATTGCAGCTGAGGGTGCGTGTCCATTTTCCTGGGAGCAGGGTAGGGTCGGAGTGGGTCGTGTTCACTACACTAGCACTAGTGCCTGGCGCCCTTCTGGATACACTGGGTGCAGCAGACATGTTTGCTGGATGAATGAGTGGTACCTCTGCACAGGTCGGCTACACGGTACGCTTCGACGATGTCACCTCTGACGACACCAAGATCAAGTTCCTGACCGATGGCATGCTCTTGCGCGAGGCCATTTCGGACTCCCTGCTCCGGAAGTACAGCTGCGTCATTTTGGATGAAGCCCACGAGCGGACTATCCACACGGATGTGCTCTTCGGGGTGGTGAAAGCTGCACAGAAGAGGCGAAAGGAGCTGGGGAAGCTGCCTCTCAAAGTGGGTGCAGCCGTTCTGCTTCGGGACTCGGGGCAAAGGTGCTGGGGGGTTGGGGGGAGAGGAGCACGGCCTCCCAAGCAGCCTTCAGGGCTTGGCAGGGCACAGAAAGCCTGGCCCGAACCTTCCTCCCATCCTCCGCGCCCTTCTCGCCGGCAGGTGATTGTGATGTCAGCCACGATGGATGTGGACCTATTCTCCCAGTATTTCAACGGAGCCCCTGTCCTCTACCTGGAGGGCCGGCAGCACCCGATCCAGATTTTCTACACCAAGCAACCCCAGCACGATTACCTGCATGCCGCCCTGGTCTCCATCTTCCAGATCCACCAGGTAGGCAGTGGGGAGCAGATTCCTGGAAAGGCCTGTTTGACCTTGAAGTCAGCCTTGAGACGAAAAGCTGCTGGACCAAACTGCTTTGTAAGCTGTGTTCTTTAGGTGAATAAGGAATTTCTTTGTCATGTCCCGTTTTTATACTTTTTTTATAATATCTCCCTTTTCCTCTTAAAAAAAAAAATTAAACTCTGACCAGCATGTTTCTTCAGCTGAGCTGGAAAACCTCCATGTGTTAGAGCAGTGGCCCGTGTGCATAATGTGATCAGAACCCCCAGTAAGAAGCACATTTTGTGTTGCAACCAGGATACCACGTGTAGAACTGAGTGGAAAGGAGTCTTAGGAAATACTGCCTCCTTTTATTCAATGTGATATTCTGTCTCATTAAAAAATAAAAAGTTGGTGTATTAGCCAGTAATGGAGTGCAATTTAGAGTTTTCTTTTTAAAAAAATGTATTAGAGAAACATTTCAACAATTTTTTCATTTTAGTAAACATTTATTTAAAAATTTGAGTGTATAACCTCATTTTTTGGTTTAACTTGTATATAATTGACTGTTTTTACCTTCCCATTAACTTTCTGAAAATATCTAGAAGCCAACTTTTTAAAAATATTTATTTATTTATTTAATTGGCTGCTTCAGGTCTCAGTTGTGGCACACATCATCTTTGGTCGCAGTGCACAGACTTTCTAGTTGCGGTACACAGGCCGATAGTTGCCACTCACAGACTCAGTTGCCCCGTAGCACGTGGAATCTTATTTCCCCGACCAGGGATCAAACTCATGTCCCCTACATTGAAAGGTGTATTCTTAACTATAGGACCACCAGGGAAGTCCCAGTCAGCCTTGTTTAGCTGCCAGAAGCAAACTTGAGATAAGGATATTTTATGAATGATACCTGTGGTGCCCTCAAGTTATATAATAGCTTTCATGAGTCCTCCTACTGATGAAGCTTTTATTGTTTTAGATTTTATCCCGTCTATGTGTGTGTACCTCTGAACATTTGTCTTCTTAACACTGAGCTAAAAAAGTATATACACACACATAAATACATAGATACGTGTATGCAAACATAGCCATAGTATATATACAGAAAGAAAAAAAATGTGGTGTTAGTCACTCAGTCATGTCCGAGTCTTAGTAACCCCATGGACTGTTGTCTCCCAGGCTCCTCTGTCCATGGAATTCTCCAGGCAAGAATACTGGAGTGGGTTGCCATTTCCTTCTCCAGGGGATCTTCCTGAACCAGAAATCAAATCCTGGGTCTCCCACATTGCAGGCAGATTCTTTATTGTCTGAGCCATATTTGCCTTCATTATATGTACATGTACATACAAATATAGGTAGTCGGACATGACAGAGCAACTTGCACACCTTCACAAATACAGATAATTATTGAACATTTTTCAGTTATTTTGCCAAACAGGCATCCTACAAATTAATGTGTCTAAACAGACTTCAAAGAAGATTGGGTCAATTGAGTATATATGTACTTAACACTTAGATGTTCTTCCCTTCTCAAGGTGAAGGACCCAGCTAAACCCAAGCCCTTGCCCAAGTTCTGGGTGCTTTGGGGGTTTATGAAAGTGCGTTTGATGGCCTCATTCACTAAGGGCTCCTTTTCCAGCCTCTGGCCATTTTCATGGGTCAGGGTTTCTCTAAGTTGTCTCCTTTGTCAGCTTCATCTTTCAAGATTATTACGAAAGGAAGGCAGCTCTGGGCAGGTTTTATTTGCTTCTGTGGCTGTGCTTTTTCATGGCACTGTTCTTGTTGCAAAAGCAATCTGGTGATTTCCCTTCAAAATCCCCTTAATTTTTTATTATGTCTCTTTTTTTCCCCTCTTAATTCACTTTTAAACATAGCTGGCTAACATGAATAAGATGCAGCTGTGCATTTGGTGAAGTTGTTTTTTTCTTCCCCAGGGGTGACACCAATATCTAGGCTCAGTTACAGCTCCAAAGTTAAGAATAACTGGGAAACTTCATTAAGGATCATTGTTCTGTTCGGTGCCACCTGCGCATCTGTCAAGGCCCAGTAACCCCAGTAGCCCCGCTCTGCCTTCTCTGTAGGAAGCGCCCTCCTCGCATGACATCCTGGTGTTTCTCACGGGGCAGGAGGAGATCGAAGCCGTGAGTAAGACCTGCCGGGACATCGCCAAGCACCTCCCCGACGGCTGCCCCTCCATGCTGGTCCTTCCGCTCTACGCCTCCCTGCCCTACGCCCAGCAGCTGCGCGTCTTCCAGGGGGCCCCAAAGGTGAGTGCACCCCGTCTCCTGCCCAGGCCCATCCCTGGGTACCCAGATGCACCAGTGGGGCCTGTGCCCCTGTCAGCGGGCTCCAGATAAGATGTGTGGACAGGGTGCCCAGGTATCTCTCTCACGAGCTGGAAAGACGCAAGCATGTAATGCAGGGCTGCAGACATGGCTCTCCCATAGTAGGAACAGGGAGACAGTTGTCTGGGGTTGAGGGAGATATGCACACGGAAGCCGGAAGCTCCCTGAGGGACTCTCCCGGCGTCCACAGTAAACAAGCACGTGTCCACAGTATGTTTTCTGGGTACCCCTGCTGTGCCAGGTACTGCGCCAACACCAGACACACACTGTCCCTCATCAAGGCCGGTCTCCATTCCAGTTCAGAAACCCTGAGGCCCCAAGGGGTGAAGTGATAGGTGCCCACGGGGTACAGTAAGTACCGGGCAGGGCCAGGATCCCAGGCCACATCTACTTCTTCCTGGCTCTAATGCCCATCCCACCACCCCTCATCACCTCAAAACAAGCCTTGAAGACTGAAACACCCAGCCCCCCAACCCAACACTGACCCGGCCATCAGTATTAATAACTGTCGAGATAGCGGAGTCATCTCTTCTTGATCATGAGTGAATTGTGACAGTTAGCGATGAGGAATATGTTTTCAAACTTCTGCATCATACATGTGTCATGTGGCTTTTTGGTTTTCTTCCTCCTTTTAGGGTTATCGCAAAGTGATCATTTCAACCAACATCGCTGAAACCTCCATAACCATTACAGGAATAAAATATGTAGTTGACACGGGCATGGTTAAAGCAAAGAAGTATAACCCTGGTGAGAACTTGTAGCCCCTGACGTTTCTTCTCTGTGTAGTGAGCGGCCCGTGGTCCTGCAGTTTCCCCACCTGAGCATTTCACGTGTATGAGTGCCAGGCACCCCATCCAGCAGGCAGGGCCGGAAAGACATGTGAGGCAGGGAAGAAGAGTCCATCTATGGCAAACCTGGGGACAGAGGGTCAAGGACCTGGGCAGAGGGACTGAAATTTCATCTGAAGGTGGGCGAGAATGGTGGCTGTCAGGGCAGGGACAGCCCGATACCACATCAGAGGCTTCCTGGGAAATGATATCTGAGCACGGCTGGTTCAATCCCCAGTCTCCCAGAAAGAAAGCAGGACCCCACCCCCAGCTGGGCCAAGGCACTAACTGTTTCCTGACTGTGTGCAGTGCGCAGCTTGCTTGAAGTCATTTTTATTCAGGTCTGTTTTCTGCCTTGCTTTATTCCGCGGAGGATTTGAGGCAGCTGACATGATAGCTCCCAGGTGTTCACTTCAAATGAACTGCTAAGCATTCAAGGATGCTGGCTTTCACGTGTGTTTCTTGGGGACCATGTTTGTGAAAGGGCTTGGTTCTCCACACTGTCTGGCACCGCATACACCTTTATCAAGAAAATCAGTCTCGTTTACTCCTAGGTGTAGTGACATGACACCGTCTCTCTTTTATAATAGAGCAGAGCGAGGCTGTAGCCCACAAGGGACTGGAGGCGTTTCATTTTGGGGTCATGATCAGTGGGCGACCAACCATCCTGGTTTGCTGGAAACTGGGTTTTGGCACTGAAAATGCCACCTCTTGGAGAACCCCTGAGTCCTAGGCCATCCCAGGGGTTGTTTTCAATTGTGACCTAAGGCAAGGCCTCTGAAATCTCGCCTTAGCCACTGCCCCAAGCTCAAGGTCCTTCTGATGCTATAGTCACAGATTTCACATAGTGTTCATGGCGAGGCCTCTTTTTACCGCAAACCAGTCTGGTTACGTGCTTTCTGACAGATTGTTATTAGTCACTAAATGGTGGCCAGCTCTTTGTAATACCATGGACTGTAGCCTGCCAGGCTCCTCATGGAATTCTCTAGGCAAGAATACTGGAGTGGGTTGCCATTTCCTCCTCCAGGGCATCTTCCTGACCCAAGGATTGCACCCACATCTCCTACATTAGCAGGCAGATTCTTTACCACCGAGCCACGAGGGAAGCCCATTTTCCAATGTAGCCTTGAGTTTTTCTGGACTCATGTATTGCAGAAAGAATCCTGGGTATCCCCAGGAATTCTCCTCATTGTCTACGTTGTAGAAGGAGTTTGTTCACATGACAAGCAGAGTCTGACTTGGCCATTCTCCCACCAGACAGTGGCCTGGAGGTGTTGGCCGTGCAGCGGGTATCAAAGACCCAGGCCTGGCAGCGCATGGGCCGGGCCGGCAGAGAGGACAGCGGCATCTGTTACCGGCTCTACACAGAGGATGAGTTTGAGAAGTTTGAGAAGATGACGGTGCCGGAGATCCAAAGGTAGCCAGTGGGGATCGCCACCTGCCGTCCGTCCCGAGGTCCTGTCATGCAGCCTGTGTCTCCTCCAACTGCCACTCCTTGGTGGGTGGCTCTGCCTTGCTGGCTGGGGGGTCAGGCGCCCTTCTGAACCACCTGTGTCTCCATCTTGCAGGTGTAACCTGGCGAGCGTGATGCTGCAGCTCCTCGCCATGAAAGTCCCAAACGTGCTCACCTTTGACTTCATGTCCAAGCCGTCTCCAGGTGAGTGGAGTCTTTGGGGAGGTGGGCACACAGAGAGGGACCTCCATGGGCTCCACACAGCAGGCCTTCTGGCACTCCCCTTTTTTTATGATTATATATTTATTATTTTTGACTGTGCTGGATCTTTGTCGCTGAGCAGGCTTTTCTCTTGTTGCGGTGAGGAGGGGCTACCCTCGAGCTGCAGTGGCCGGTTTTCTCATTGCAGTGGCTTCTCTTGTTGCAGAGCAGTCTGTAGTCTGTAGGGCTCAGTAGTTGCAGCTCCTAGGCCATCAAGCACAGGCTCAGTAGCTGTGGCGCATGGACTAGTTGCTGCATGGCATGTGGGGTCTTCCCAGAGCAGGGATTGAACCCATGTCTCCTGCATTGGCAGGTGGGTTCTTAACCACTGAGCAATCAGGGAAGCCCCTGTTGACCTGTTGTTTAGTGTAATTGGGGGGAATAACAACCTTAACTCTTAGAGAAGAGTCTCAGAATCATGGAAGAGACCCAGTGCTGTTCACACCATGTTGGTGCAGAATCAGGGGCTTCGTGTCGGCACCATATCCGGTGGGTTCCGTGGTCATAGGAACCAGGGAAGGTAGTTGCGGGGGGTCCACAGGTTACTGCAGCCCCAACAAACTTTGACTTTTGCAAAGGGACTGAACAGATTGCGTTTCTTTGCTTTGAGCTGGAATTTGATGGGTCTCTGCCCTTCACCGGGAATCTCCATGGAGGAAGAAAAAGTAGTTGGGATTCTTTGTCATGGTAGCTTAGCCCTTGGCATCCCTTCAACACATAGCATTTTCTTTTTCTTTAAAGTGAAGAAGTGTAATTGGTTAAAAAAAGTAAACAGTGGATAGGTAGACATGGACTGCCACAATCTTCAGGTTCATAGTTTCCCTCCCTCACAGCCACCCCGGGGCCATTTCCTAGTGTCTCCTAGAGAAGATCTATGTGGGTAAGTACATACAGTCTCCTTTTCAAAACGTAAATAGCAGCACCCATTCAGTCCATTCTATACTTTTTTTTCTATCAATTACTAAATTCCTACATATAAAGGAGGAGCAGGGACTTCCCTGGTGGTCCAGTGCTTAAGACTGAGCTCCCAATGCCGGGGTCACAGGTTGAATCCCTGGTCAGGAAACTAAGATCCTGCATTGCCGCACAACACCCCCAACCCACCACCACCAAATAAAAGGAGGAACATACATGTCAGGTAGAAGTAAGCCACACCTGTGTGCCCATTACTGGGGCCACCAAGCCCTGGGACCGCCCATTCCCACCCCCCTGCCCCTCACCTCCTTCCCACTCCTCCCTCAAGGGCACCACCACCCAGGTTTGATCTGTGATTCCCTTGCTTTTCTTGAATATCTATTCCATTCACAAACATGGTTTCAGTTGGTGTGTTTATGTCTCAATTTTCTGGTGACCTTCGTTTTCATCTGTCATGTTTTGTAAAGTTTACGTTTGATGTATTTTTATCACATAAATACAGTTCCATTCTATGAATAAGCCAAGATGCATTTTTCCTCCTCCTGGTAGACATTGGCACATTGCTTTTTTCACTTAATATATTTTATAGATCAGTTTTTCTCTGTACATATGTATTTATTGCATCCTTAGACATGCATCGTTATGCTTAATAGGTAATACATTTACATAGTTCAAATTAAAAAGGAATTAAAGAGTAAATAGTAAATAGTGTCCTTCTCTCCAGGGGCTCCCAAGGCCCCTGGTGTTTCCATTGTTGTGTGTGTCCATCTGGAGACACAGGTCCCTGTACGAGGTTCAGGTATATCCGCGTGTGAAATTCAGAAGTGTAACTTTGCTGGGCTTCAGATTTGCATACATGTTGCCAAATTGCAGGCCACTATTTAAAAAGGGAATTGAGGGTTTCCCTGGTGGCTCGGTAAAGAATCTGCCTGCCAGTGCAGGAGACACAGGTTGGATCCCTGGTCCAGGAAGATCTGACATGCCACAGAGCAGTTAGGCCCGTGCACCACAACTGTTGAGCCTGTGCTCCACAACAAGAGAAGCCACCACAGTAGAGAAAAGCCCCAAGCAGCAACGAAGACCCAACACAGCCAAAAAATAAAGACGTAAAGTTATTTTTGGAAAATTGAAAAAATGAAAGAGATGAGCTGAAGACAGTGATGTCATGAATAGCTTTGAAAAGCACCTCATGGGGACAGTGTGGTTGTGGTCTTTACTGTGGTTTGATTTAGGCTTGTCACAAATGTGCTGATGTGATAAAGCAGCTGCAGCTCCATCCCGTTTTGAGTGTTTGACTCCTTTTCATGTCTTTCTCTCTAGATCACATCCAGGCGGCCATCGCCCAGCTGGAGCTGCTCGGTGCCCTTGAACAGAGGGATGGCCAGTTCACCCTAACTCCAATGGGAAGGAAGATGGCGGCTTTCCCGCTTGAACCCAAATTTGCCAAAGTAAGTGACACCCTCTTCTCAGTCCCCTCTCTGTACCTTACCTTACAGGTCAGCCATCCCACAGGGTCTCCTCAGCCCAGTGCTTCTAGGTTCATCTTCACCTTTTCTCTTAAACGATCATCAACACCTGTTTTGTGTCGAACCTCCACTTACGTTCTGTTATTTCAAGCTCACATTAAGTCATGTGTGTGTGCATGCTCAGTCATGACCAACTCGCTGCGACCCCCTGGATTGTAGCCCACAGGCTTCTCTGTCCATGGAATTTTCCAGGCAAGAATACTGGAGTGGGTTGACATTTCCTCTACCAATGAAGTCATGAGCCCTACCTATATGGATCATACAAGAAAGGCAGCTATCTGTTCTACCAAAAATAATATACAAATAAATATATAAAAGAGCATAACATATATTGTTGTGGTTTTAGAAACACCTGCCCCTTTACGCCTTACAAGGGAAGCTGCAGAAGCAATATATGGAAATTCAGAAGCCAGGAAAAAATTGGACTCACACAGTGTTTCCTTGTGGTTTGCAGACCATCCTCCTGTCCCCCAAATTCCACTGCACGGAGGAGATACTGACCATTGTCTCCCTGCTGTCCGTGGACAGCGTTCTCTACAACCCTCCATCCCGGCGGGATGAAGTGCAGAGCATGCGCAAGAAGTTTGTGTCCAGCGAGGGCGATCACCTCACCCTGCTCAATGTCTACCGGACCTTCAAGAACACCGGCGGGAACAAGGTAGGCCTTGTCCTCTTCCTCTTCTCAAACAGGGCCTTCATTTATCAAGAAAATTTTAAAAATAAATAAATATTTGGGGGAGTTCCCTTTTGGCCTAGTGGTTAGGATTCCAGGCCTTCACTTGCCATGGCCTGGGTTCAATCCTTAGTCAGGGAACTAAGATCCCGCCTGCTGAGTGGCTGCCCTTCCCAAAAGAATCAGTAATTGTGCCATACCATACACGCTTTACCTTTGTATTTTAATGCAGTCAGTTCTTAAGAAAAACCACTACCTAGGTTTAGTAGTTGTAAACATTTTGCTCCGTTTACCTCAGTTTATTTGTTTATTTTCTCTTGTTGGCCACTCTGCATGGCATGTGGAACTTCCCTGATGAGGGATGGAACCCATGCCTCCTGCAGTGGAAGTGCAGAGACCTAGCCAGTGGACCACCAGGGAAGGCCACGTCAGGTTATTTTTAAGGAAATAAATGCTGTGGACACAGCAAGAGCCCCAAGCCACTCCTCATGTAGTCCTCCCTACCTCCTGTAACCACCGTCCTGAAGTGGGTCTGGACCTCCCTGGGCAACACTCTGCTTTCACTTCCTGTCCACAGGCATCGTATGCTACACGTGCTTCCTCACACTACCCTTTGGCTGCTTATTTCTGCCTCTGGCCCCGTAGTGCGCATCCGTCCAGGTCTGCTATGCACAAGGGGGAGGGTTTCTCGGGAGCCAATACCCAGGAGTGGACCTGCTGGTCTAGGAGCAGCTGCACCCAGCTTCCCCAGAGTGTTAACACCTCTCTACCCTCCCCAGAGTCGTGCAGAAGAGTTCCCATTTCCACCTGCCTCTCCAAATTTGCTGAAATGACTTTCATTTTTTCCAGGTTGATGGATATGAAGTAGTAGTTGTTCAATTGCTAAGTCATGGCCAGCTCTGTGACCCCATGGACTGCAGCATTGCAGGCTTCCCTGTCCTTCACCATCTCCCAGAGTTTGCTCAAACTCATGTCCATCAAGTTGGTGATACCATCCAACCATCTCATCCTCTATTGCCCACTTCTCCTCCTGCCTTCAGTCTTTCCCAGCATCAGGGTCTTTTCCAGTGAGTTGGCTCTTTGCATCAGGTGCCAAAGTATTAAAGTTTCAGCTTCAGCATCAGTCCTTCCAGAGAATATTCAGGGTTGATTTCCTGTAGGATGACTGGTTTGGTCTTCTTGCAGTCCACGGGACTGTCAAGAGTCTTCTCCAGCACTGCAGTTTGAAAGCATCAAATAGTATCTCAGTTATTTGAAACTGTACTAACTTGATTCCTCAAGAGACCAAGAACCTTTGCTTAAGTTTGTCATTTGTAGTTAACCTTCTGTGAGTTGTCTGTCCATATCCTTTGTGGCTGTACTGGATTATTGGTCATTTTCTGACTGATTTGTAGGTGTTGTTTTTTTTTTTTAAGTATATTCTGAAGATCATCATTCTTTTTCCACTATGGTTTTCATTATGGTTCACGCTTTTTGATACAAAGATATTTTCTTGTATTTACTTTTGGCAACTGCAGTTTAACCTCCAAATTCAAACTATGTTCTAGAAATTATGCTGGGACTTCCCTGGTGGTCCAGCGGTTAATTCATGGTCAGAGAACTAAGACCCCAAATGCTGCATGTTAGGACTAAAAAATTTTTTTAAATTAAATAAAAAATTAAAAGTTGTGCTATATTTTTATCTCTGAAGAAACAAGAGGACTGTGACATCTCTTTTTTTCTCCCTGTTCAGGAATGGTGCAAAGAGAATTTTGTCAATAGCAAAAATATGACGCTAGTAGCTGAAGTCAGAGCACAGCTGAGGGACATCTGCATAAAGGTATTTTTCTTCCTGCTGGTCTTTGGGGGGCTAAGCTGTCACCTTTTTCTGGGTGAAAATTCTCAAATTGCTTGTTACTAGTGATTGCAGAAAAACCTCTCATTATAGGAAAATTTTTAAATAAAGAAGAAAGTAAAAATTACCCACAACTCCACCTCTTACCAATTTGGTCCATTTCATCATGGCTCTGCTTTTAAATGTATTTTTACATGGATAGTTATTAATACATTGTATATATGATTTATATCCAGCTTTTATAAACTTTAACAGTGTTTTCCAATGTTATTAGAATTCTTCCTAAGTTTTCTTTTTAGTGGAAATACCTGTCAATTTTATTCAGTTTACAAAAGCAGTGCATACTTGTTACACGTTGATAGAGTGCAGAAAATAGTGATATATATGCAGTAGAAACTAACACAACATTGTAAAGCAATTATACTCCAATAATAAAAATAAGAAAATAGTGATATATTGTGCAGAAAGTATAAAAGTATAATCCTGCCCCTCCACAGATAAGCAATAGTCCAGTGTAGATCCTTCTAGCATTTTTCTCTATGTATGTATGTTTTTGTTTATTTGTGTGTTATGCATATAGTGGATATATACATTTTCTTTTTTTAAAAAAGTTTGATGCACATTTTGGTTTGCAACTTGTTTTTTTCCACTTAGAGTACCTCTTGAATTTCACTTTGTATGTGGGCTGTCTCTCAGTGCCTGTATATGTCTATCGTTCTTTTTATTGACTTGGTAGCATTTGTCTCCTGTCTTCACTGCAGTTATTTAACTAAGTCCCTAGTGGCGGTCATATAGATTGTGCTAGAGTGATCATCCTCCTGCATAAACATCTGTGCTTTGGTGCAGAGAGAATGAACTTCTGGATGGGGAATTTAGATTCTGATAGACATTGCCAAGCCATCCACCAAAGTCTCCTACCAGCTCATAGTCCCTCTTAGAGGACATGATGTTTCTGTATTCAATGACTGTGTGATGCACCATGTTTTACCTCAGAGGTGGGGTAGTTTGTGTTCGCAGTCTCCTGTGTTGAGCACTGAGTGTCCTCGTTTTGCTGCTGTGAACAACTCTGTGGTGACCAGACGTCTCTGTGTAAGGCCTCTTCTGAGACAGCCCCCAGTGCAGACCACCCACATGACCCTGGGAGACAGTTGTCGCCCTTACCCAGGCCCGCGTCCGATGCCGGCAGCCTATTGTTAGCACTGAAGTAACTTCTTTCCAGGCTTCCCACGTGGCTCAGTGCTAAAGAATCTACCTGCCAAAATAGGAGACGCGGATTCAATCCCTGGTTCGGGAAGATCCCCTGGAGAAGGAAATGGCAACCCACTCCAGTATTCTTGCCTGGAGGATCCCATGGACAGAGGAGCTGGCCGGCTACAGTCTGCAGGGTCACAAAGAGTTGGGCACGACCGAGCGACTGAGCACATGGCTCTTTTCACAGTAGCCTGTTGTGTTCTGTGTTGCATACATGTTTTCACCCCTCTTGTCCTTGAATGGCTTTCCTGCTAGACCATCCCTTGGCTTTGTGAGTTTTCTCATCTTTTACTGACAGTAGAAGGGGTGCTCCTCGACCCGCGCTCACCTCAGGCATCTGAGGCAACTTCCCGGAGGTCAGCGTCCACCCCGGATGTCAGCCTCCTCTGTGGGCCTTGCACCAGGCTGCACTGTAGGCAGTGTGGCTCCATGTACCAGGGGTGGCTGCACAGTGCTCACGTCTGGGGTCTTTTCCATGTCTCACTTCCTCCCGAACCAGATGTCCATGCCAATCCTGTCCTCCCGGGGGGACACAGAGAGCATCCGCCGATGCCTGGCGCACAGCCTCTTCATGAGCACCGCTGAGCTGCAGCCGGACGGGTCCTACGCCACCACGGACACCCACCAGCCAGTGGCCATCCATCCCTCGTCCGTGCTCTTCCACTGCAAGCCGGCCTGCGTCGTGTTCACGGAGCTGCTCTTCACCAACAAGTGCTACATGCGTGACCTGTGCGTTGTGGATGCTGAGTGGCTGTACGAGGCCGCCCCCGACTTCTTCAGGAAGAAGCTGAGGACTGCCAGGAACTGAGCCGCCCTGGTGCCTGGGGCCGGGCCGCAGCCGGCCTCGCTGCGACTTCTAGACGTTGGCACCTACGGAGGCCACGGTGGTTATGGGCGGGTCATGCCTGGCCTCCAGGAGCTTGAGAGCCTCTTTGTCTACACTCCTCAGACTGAACCGCACAGACATGTAGAGGTCTGGGAAACTTCAAAATGATGCTTTGGGTTCTTGGTGGATGACTTTGGGTGACTTCCTTTACTTCTGAGCCGCAGTTTCCTGATCTGCCAAGTGGGAGTGATGATACTTACAGGGTTGGAGTCATGAAGCTCAGAGCAAGTGAAAAGAAAAGTACCCAGAGGTGTGCATGCCCGTGATAAGCCATGGTGGACTGGGTGCCGAGGTGCTTGGTTGGTGTCACTGCTTATGTAGGTGCCATGGATCGGGTACAGCAAAACCCCCAAGTCCTTGAGACTGCAGGGGATGGTCTGGGAGGGCGACCACAAGAGGTCACAGAGCTCTTGACCTTGGATCTGTTTGAACATCTATCTGCATGAAGTTATGTAACAGAAGAGATTAACTTCTGTTTCAGTAGGGAGGTGCTGAGCACCTAACCTCACTCCCCAGGGCAGGGAGCTTTCACAGCAAAAAAGTGCTAAGCACCTCTCCCCACCCTGCTTTCAGGGAAGTTCCTGAGTGAAGGTATTTGTGTCTTCTGAAGTGGGAAAGCTGATCTTGTGTGTTGTCCTTCAGTCATGTCCAATTCTTTGTGACCCCATGGACTGCAGCACGGCAGGCTTCCCTGTCCTTCACCATCTCACGGAGCTTGCTCAAACTCATGTCCATCGAGTCAGTGATGCCATCCAACCATCTCATCCTCTGTCGTCCCCTTCTCCTCCTGCCTTCAATCTTTCCCTGCATCAGGGTCTTTTCCAGTGAGTCAGTTCTTCACGTTGGCCGGCCAAAGTATTGGAGCTTCTGCTTCAGCATCAGCCCTTCCAATAAACATTCAGGGTTGATTTCAGGTTGTAGTGTGACGGCCTCCAGCATAACCTTCTCTCTCTTTCTGTCTCTGGGCCATAAACCCATGAGCTAAGGGTTGACTGAGCTGAACTCAAGCCATTTCCCTTCTGGCCAGACCTCTGGGGGCGGGCGGAGGTCAAGCCAGGCAGTCTTGGCTCATCTCCTCCCCTCATCTAGTGTTTATGTTCTTTTATCTTATTTCCCATGATCTTTTTTCCTTCTTCTTAGGAACCAGGGAATATCCTGGCTTTGCTGCTGGCACCTCTTTCTCACACTCATTTTCAACATTTGTCTGAGGGGATTAAAGGGTCTTCACAGACTTCCTGTTCTCATATTTTGAGAAGGGAAAAGACACCAAAAGTCCTTCTTAGCTATTTAATTTGAAAATCGTTGTTGTTTAATAGCTAAGTTGTGTCTGACTCTCTGCAACTTCGTGGGCTGTGGCTCTCTAGGCTCCTCTGTCCATAGGATTTCCCAGGCAAGAATCCTGGAGTGGGTTGCCATTTCCTCCTCCAGGGCATCTTCCCAACCCAGGAATCAAACCTGAGACTTTGCCCAGAGAATGCTTTGGCCTGGAAAATGCCAAAATTAGCCCTTTTATTGTGCTTAATTGTCTAAACACAATATACAGTATTCTGGTCATTACATACAGTGAATCATACAGCTTTTAAGCAGAGGCCCAAATGGCCTGAGAGACTCTTCAGAGATAACGGATGGTGTCTTCATTTTGGTTCAGTGAGACCCTGGCGGATAGGAACACCCCCTCCCAGGCCTCATGTGTCCACAGTGGTGTATGTCAAGTTTGCCTCAGCACCAGCTGTGGGTCTGAGCAGTCAGACTTTTAGCCAGTGTTCCCAGCTATCTGGGCATATGTGAATTCTTCCTGTTAAAAATAGTTACATTAAGGCCAAAGAAGAGTCGACAGATCCTAAATACCCTGTCTTACTAAATTCTTAGATTTTTCTTGTTCTTACCAGTGCTGACTTTCTGAGAAGTTTTTCAGAAAAAAAACTTAACTGTATTTTTCTCACTTATTTAAGAGTCCTAGGAGGTGTAGCCTGACTTGGTAAAAGAAATTACTGTATTTTTAATAAAACATTCATCACACTGATAAAAAATATTGGGAGTGGAGAGATGTATTATATTTCTCGTAATGTTGCATATTATGGTGGCTCAGACAGTAAAGAATCTTCCTGCCATCTGGGCGACCTGGGTTTAATCCCTGAGTTGAAAAGATCCCCTGGAGAAGGGCATGGCAACCCACTCCAGTATTCTGGCCTAGAGAATCCCCATGGACCGAGGAGCCTGGCAGGCTACAATCCATGGGGTCACAAAGACTCAGACACAACTAACCAACTAAGCACATTCTCTAGGGCAAGTAAAATTTAGCTTTTAATCATTTTTGTGCACCTCAAAGTTCCTGAACTGTTTCGGGAAATGTATTTTTTCTGAGCAGGAGTAAGGGGTAAATAGCTTCTAAATAAATGTAAGTAGCTTCTGTATTTCTGTACAAAGATATATTTATCACTGTAACATTCTGGTAGAGTTTTGATACAGTAGTTTTTTATCAGGCTTTTTAAAAAGTTAACTTTTCACATAACTGCTCAGGGATTAAATCAGATTGGAAAAGCCTATCCCTGCTCCATGTTACTACAAAGAGATACAAGGTTGTTTATACCTAGCTGGAGGGCACAAATAAGTACACTTTAAACTTTCTAATAAAGTTAAATGTTTCACAATGATGTTGCAGTCTCATCTTGAGCTACTCCTTTCAATCCCTAAAATCTCTGATGGTGTGCCACCTTTTTTTTTCCCAACCTGTGAAATCCATATCTGGGTGAATCACTAGTTCCCTTGAGCACCTTTATGTATTAATAAATAGATGCACTCCAAGCAGATTGCATGTCTCAGATGTTTGTCTTCTGCTTCTAATAATCATGGAGGGCAGCACAGATCCCATTTACAAGGGGAAGAACTGCTCAACACCCAGTTCTTGGTAGAAACCCTTCCTTAATGTTGCATCTCTGCTAGGAATAAAGAGATGCCAGAAGGGAGACAAGTTTGTGCTCTGTGGAAAGAACTGATTATGTACTGTGATGCATAAATCCATTTAATCCAGCTCTCAAGAAAACCTGTGGCCAGACATTTAAGATACCGTTCCTTGTGAATATAAAGAAACACTGCACCTGTAGGGAAGCAAGAGTTTTCTTATATTTTATTTGATCAGAATATTATAACTTGCAGGGAAAAGCTCAGTTCAGATTTATGTTGTGTTTTGAGACTCTTCTTATTCAAACAGGAAGGGATCTGTAGAAGTATCAGCATTTGCACATGACTCAAACCCATTAAAGGTGAATCTAGTACATATTGTGTGTGGCTTCTTTCTTGGGTCTCCTTTCCCTTATTCACAGAATGCTGTTTAGAATATATTAATATTAGTCATATCTTTGCCACTGATTTGGAAAGATTTTCTTGGTACCTTATAATAGCTTATGGTTCCTGGTAAAGTAGCAACATTGGTTCTTAACCTAAATCTAATGTAAGCCGTGGCTTCTTGCCCCCCGAAAAATAACGTTCCATCAGAACCTGGGTGTAAGGTTGGAGGGCTGCAAGAATTAACCAGGCATCTTGCCTTCAGGAGCTCCAGGTCTGATGGGAATAAGGGGCAGCTGTCAGGTAAACGAGCAATGTCAGGAGGTTTCTGCTGAGAAAAGAATAAAGTACAGGGATCTGGTCACATAGGCATGAGTTCTGGTTTTTCAGGGAAGAGAGGAGGAAGAGCCAGGAAGGCCTTTCATAGGAGATGACCTCAGAGGCTGGTTTTGGGAGTCGAAGGCAGCAAGAGTGCATTCCACGAAGTCACAGAAAGCCTGGTCGTGCTTGAGAACAGTAGATGGAAATTTGGAGAGTAAGCAGGTACTGGATAGAAGCCAATTAAACAGCAGTCCTGGGACACCAGACTCAGCCACTCAGCTAAAGAAGTTTCAGTTCAGTCGCTCAGTCATGTCCAACTCTTTGCGACCCCATGGACTGCTGCACGCCAGGCTTCCCTGTCCATCGCCAGCTCCCGGAGCTTACTCAAACTCATGTCCATCAAGTCAGTGATGCCATCCAACCATCTCATCCTCTGTCGTCCCCTTCTCCTCCTGCCTTCAATCTTTCTCAGCATCAGGGTCTTTTCCAATGAGTCAGTTCTTCGCATCAAGTGGCCAGAGTATTGGAGTTTCAGCTTCAGCATCAGTCTTCCAATGAATATTCAGGACTGATTTCCTTTAGGATTGACTGGTTTGATCTCCTTGCAGTTCAAAGGACTCTCAAGAGTCTTCTCCAATACCACAGTTTAAAAGCATCAATTCTTTGGCGCTCAGCTTTCTTTATAGTCCAACTTTCACACCCATACATGATTACTGGGAAAACCATAGCTTTGACTCTACAGACCTTTGTAGGCAAAGCAATGTCTCTGTTTTTAAATATGCTATCTAGATTGGTAATAGCTTTTCTTCCAAGAAGCAAGCATCTTTTAATTTCATGTCTGCAGTCACCATCTGCAGTGATTTTGGAGCCCAAGAAGAAAAAGTCTCACTGTTTCCATTGTTTCTGCAGCTATTTGCCATGAAGTGATGGGACCAGATGCCATGATCTTAGTTTTCTGAATGTTGAGTTTTAAAGCAAATTTTTCACTCTCTTTACTTTCTGCCATAAGGGTGGTATCATCTGCATATCTGAGGTTATTGATATTTCTCCCAGCAATCTTGATTCCAGCTTGTGCTTCATCCAGCCCTCATTTCACATCATGTACTCTGCATATAAGTTAAATAAGCAGGGTGACAATATACAGCCTTGACCTACTCCTCTCCCAATTTGGAACCAGTCTCTTGTTCCATGTCCAGTTCTAACTTTTGCTTCTTGACCTGCATACAAATTTCTCAGGAGGCAGGTAAGGTGGTCTGGTATTCCCATCTCTTTCAGAATTTTCCACAGTTTGTTGTGATCCACACAGTCAAAGGCTTTGGTGTAGTCAATAAAGCATGTTTTTCTGGAACTCTTGCTTTTTCGATGATCCAGTGGATGTTGGCAATTTGATCTCTGGTTCCTCTGCCTTTTCTAAATCCAGCTTGAACATCTGGAAGTTCATAGTTCACATACTGTTGAAGCCTGGCTTGGAGAATTTTTTGAGCATTACTTTGCTAGCATGTGAGATGAGTGCAATTGTGCAGAAGTTTGAACATTCTTTGGGCTTGGAATAGAAAACTGAGCTTTTCCAGTCCTGTGGCCACTGCTGAGTTTTCCAAATTTGCTGGCATATTGAGTGCAGCACTTTAACAGCATCATCTTTTAGGATTTGAAATAGCTCAACTGGCATTCCATCACCTCCACTACCTTTGTTCCTAGTGATGCTTCCTAAGGCCCACTTGACTTCGCATTTCAGGATGTCTAGGAATCTTCAGGAACTAAAGAAGTTTAGGAATCAGATTCCAACCCTCCCTGGGAGGCTACGACGGAGGCCACCAGCAGAGGGCAGGGTCCTATCCACTGTGCCTTCTGGTCTGCAAGGCGGAGGCGCGGAAGTACTTCCAGGCCGCGGGGCGGGACTTCCGGCGGCGATCCTAGATCTAGGGGGCGCCGCGGCAAGGAGTTGTCCTTCTAAGCGAGAGTTGTATTTCGCATCTGCACGTGTTCACCACCGCCTTCGCTGCCAAAATGTTCCAGCTGCTGCGCTGCGTGCCCCGCGTTCTGGGTACTGCCGTCGCTGGTCTCCGCGCCGCCGCGCCCTCCCTGCCGCTGCTGCAGCCCGCGTCCCGGCCATGCGCCCGACCCTTCGGGCTGCTCAGCGTGCGCGCGGGATCGGTGCAGCTGCCCGGCCTTCTGAAGCCTCGGGGGCCCTGCGCTTGCGGCTGCGGCTGTAGCGGACTGCACACCGAAGGTGAGACTCATGCACGTGGGCTGGGGGCGTGAGGGGCGGGGGCCTAGGTGGGGCGGGGTGTCAGGGGCTAGGAGGTGTGGACCACCTGAAAGGACAGTCCGGAGCCTCTCCTGAGGTCCGGAACCTTCTCCCACTGATGGGCGACCTGCTAATTAAACCCACGCATAATAACATTTCCCTTCTTGCCCCACCCCTGTTTGACTTTGCGGGGAGAGAGACTGTAAAGTCCTGGAGGCCGGCTTTACCTCAGTCTCTCGAAAATGGAACTTTGCGAAAGCCCAAGGTCGCGGTTAGAAGTAGCGTGGTGATGTTTCTTGGCAAGTGAAAGGGTAGAGGCGAATTTTTTTTTTTTTTTTTGCTTTATTTTGAAACCTGGTAAGAAGTTCATTATTGGGGATCACTTTCCCAGAATCCAAGCTCAGCTTCCACTGATAGCTTACATTTTTATAGATGAAGGAATTGAGGCTTAATGGATATGAATTGGGCTAAGTTCACAGAGCCACCATTAAGAATAGAAGTATTAGGAAAAAGCAGACCAAGTCCTGGTCTCTGCTTGTAGTAACGGGGTCATTTTCCGTTTTAGATTAATTGACTCTTTCTGTAACTTATTTCCATTGTAGGAGACAAAGCTTTCGTTGACTTCCTCAGCGATGAGATCAAGGAGGAAAAGAAAATACAGAAATATAAGTCTCTCCCCAAAATGTCAGGAGGTTGGGAACTGGAAGTGAATGGGACGGAAGCCAAATTAGTGAGGAAAGTTGCTGGAGAAAAGTAAGTACCAGGGGCCTATGGAAGAGAGGTGCTTAACTGACTCCTGGTTTCTCAGAGATGGTAGGATTCATTTGGATAACTTCTTAAGCTCCTTTTCACTCATTCACTGCACAGTAATGTGTTGTGGCGGTTAATAAGGAGACAGTAAGCTAGTAGCGGGGTTCCCCAGTGGCTTGGCGGTTCAGAACCCACCTGCCAATGCAGGAGACGTGAGTCTGATCCCTGGGTCCTGAAGATCCCCTGGAGAAGGAAATGGCAACCCACTCCAGTATTCTTGACTAGAAAATCCAATAGACAGAGGAGCCTGGCAGGGTACAGTCCATGGGGTTACAAAGAGTCAGACACAACTGAACATCACCCCAGTAGCACTGAAGCCAAGCCACTGTGAGTGTCCTGGACCAGTAGGGGCAGCGGTCACTGAGCCCTTCCTGGTGAGTGAGGCTCTGCCTTGCCCACAAGTAGGCATGCAAATTCAGAGATTCTGGCGGTGCCAACAGAATCAGATTTACTCTGCTGGCTCTATGCTCAGGCTCTGGCTGAGGAAAATAAAGCCCCTCTTCTGTTTACAGTTGAGAAAGCAAGATAATTAACAAGGTGGGGTTGCAGTATAGCTTTTCATTAGAAAAGAGGGAAGCTTTTGACCTGCTGAAGCTGTTTTAAATCCATGATCCACTTTGAAGTTTTGCATGTGCTGTGAAGTAGCGGTCTGGTTGTTTTGCCTAGTAGTGTAGTGTTTATCCTCCTCATAGGTCGATTGTGTAGTCTGTAAGGTGACCCATACCACTCTCCGGGTAAGTCATAGGCGCTTTGGGGACCATCATAATGTGCTGCTGAACGTAACTGCCTTTCTGTATTCTGGGGTCAGTTTGGGCCAAACTGTCACAGCTTAGCCAGGTTTTGTGCCTGAACATCAAACCTCTGCCTGGTGAGGAGAGGGCAGCGTTGTCTGCAACCCAGCAGTGCTCATTCCAAGTGTCACTCAATTTTCAATTCAAATTTTGGAATACGATAAGTCAGGTGAAGATTCTTGCAAGTTAAAATTGTCATTAAGTGGTGTTTGTGGCCTGCTTTGTCATTTATTAAACGTCCCACATCTGCTCTGAAGAATAAACCTATCCAACAGCATATTCTTTTTTTTTTGCCACGCTGCTTGTGGGAATCTTAGTTCCCCGACCAGGTATCAAACCCAGGCCGTGGCAGTGAACACACCGAGTCCTAACCGCTGGCCCACCAGAGAACTCCGCTGTGTGGTGTCCTTTGTGAGGCCTCCCGTCCCTGGGGCCCGGGCGACTCTCCATTCTCAGCTGATGCCACAGCTCTCCAGTGCTCCTTCTCTTCCTCTCAGGCAGATTTTCTTCTAATGGAGGAAGATTTTTAAAGGAGGCTTCTGGGACTTTGTGGTGGTCCAGTGGTTAAGATTCTCTGCTCCCAGTGCAGGAGACCTGGGTTCAATTCCTGGTCAGGAAACTAAGATCCCGCATGCGGCAACTGAGCGATCCCACACATAGCGATGAAGGTCATGCGCACCTCGCAACTAAGACCCTGTGCAGCCAAGTACATTTATTTTTTTAGAGGCGGCTTCTATCCCATGCCCCCAGCTTCTCAGCTGCTCACCACCACCAGAAGGTGCCCTGGAAAGACAAGGGTGGCAGTGTCAGCTGACTGTGGCCATAAGGTTGACAGAGAGCCCGGATGGTGGCCTGATGGCAGAAGCAGCCCACACACAACTGTGTTTGGCTGAGGAAATAGTGCCTAATTGACTTCCAGCAGCCAACACATAGTAGGCCCACTTTAGACCTGCTGAATCCGACTGTGGGTGGGATGCAGGCAAATTAGACGTAAAGCCGGCTGAGATACATTGTTTCAACAGCATTTTTAACTGTAGCAAGCCTCAGTACTTAACTCAGCTACTCAGTTAAAAAGACATCTTCTCCATTGTGCTTACTTTGGTTGCCTTTCTAGGATCACTGTTACTTTCAACATTAACAATAGCATCCCACCCGCTTTTGGTGGTGAGGAGGAGGAACCCTCCCAAGGGCAGAAGGCTGAGGAGCAGGAGGTAAGTTTCTAACACTGTAACCAGCCTGTACCCACCTAGTTCTGACAGGCTTAGGGAAGGAGCATTGGTTTTTGTTTTGTTTAAATTCTAACGCCAGGAGAGAAGGCAAAGGCAGCCATCCTTGGGCCTTTACTTGTAGAGCACCAGAACTGTGTGGCCACTTTTCTTTCCCAAGGGTCAAGTATTAATGAATTGTTTTCTGTGGGCTTAAGCATTATAGTTTGGCCTGTGTTCACCTAACAGGAACAGTTGAACAGGAAGTTAAACTGAAATTGTCTTAACCCTTCTCATGATCAGGAGATAAATCATTTGGAGTGTTCCGCGTGAGGAGTACACGTCCCGGGCTGGTAGTAAACACCAGCCAGGGGCACCAGAGACTTTGGCAAGGCCTCTCCTTAAGTTGCTGCCCTTCTTGGTTGGACCTGGGTGGTGCTTAGTCCTCGAACATTTTAGGAAGCTTTGTGCCTGGCCTATAAACCAGCCAGTATGAGGGCCACAGGTCCCCAGACTTTCTGGCTGGGTGGGCATGGTGTTGCCTTATGACCCAGCTCAGCTCCCTGTAGTGCTGGCCCAGCCCCCCTGACAAAGACCACCCCCACCCCGACCCTCCTCCTCCCTGAGGTTAGCTGGCTCACCCTCAAAGGGAGGGCCTCTGGTCCTGGGCTGTAATGAAGATCCCCAAACAGCTGGAAAGGGGTTTAGGAGCTTTGAGCCGGCTTTGTAGTGTCTAGATGTAGAAACTGATCCAGGAAAATTAACTGTACCCTAGGTGGGGCTAGAGCTGAGTTCCTAATTCTGAACCGTATATGTTCTTTAAACAAGCAGGGTGCTAATAGAAGTGAAAGGCTGTACTAAACTGTGATACTCTTCCTCCAAAACACAGTCCATAACTCTAGAAAGGAATGACAGGATGTGTTCTGCCCAGTCTCTGAACAAGTGGGCTATGTGGCTGTAACACTGTGTTAAAGATCCTAAGTTTCTTATTTGGGAACCTCTTAGCATAGTGTAAGACTTGCAAGTGGCTAAGTAATATCCTAATAGCAGTGGCCATCAGACCCCTGAATTGAGACCTTTAGTCCAGACCCCTGCTGACAAATACATGTACTGACTTGTTCTTGTTTTCCTAGCCTGAACTGACATCCACTCCCAATTTCGTGGTCGAAGTTACAAAGGATGGCAGCAGCAAGGCCCTTGTGCTGGACTGTCACTATCCAGAAGATGAGGTGTGTAGAGTGGAAAGCTGGTGGCCTTGGGGACAAGGGGGGCCTCCAGGGGGCTTCCCTGGTTCCATCTAGCTGATATTAACATTTTCTGGCTTGGAGCAGCAAAGCTGGGAAGATTAGTGGGAGGGGAGAGAGCAAGGTTAAAAGCTGAGTTTCAAGCTGTAAGTAACCCCTTTTCTTCGCCTGAGTCTGGCTTGTCCTGGAAAACCTTTCTGTTTCCCCAAATACTGTGTCTCTTCAGATTGGACAAGAGGATGACCAGAGTGACATTTTCTCCATCAAGGAAGTGAGTTTTCAGGCCACCGGCGAGTCTGACTGGAAGGACACAAATTACACACTCAACACAGATTCCCTGGATTGGGTGAGTGCTAGATAAGGTGGGGAGGGGCCTACCTAATCCAAGGAGAGACAAAGAAGCATTGTAGTGTCTCAGGTGTCTTTTTTTTTTAACTAGTAAATGATTCTCCTTCTAGGGCTTATACGACCACCTAATGGATTTCCTTGCAGACCGAGGGGTGGACAACACTTTTGCCGATGAATTGGTGGAGCTCAGCACAGCCCTAGAGCACCAGGAGTATATTTCTTTCCTCGAAGACCTCAAAGGTTTTGTCAAAAGCCAGTAGAGCAGGCAACAAGGTGCTGAACACCTTAATTTTATGGCAGGCTTTGGCCAGTGAACAAAACCTAACTCTGAAGTCAGACCCACATGCTTTGAAATGGTTTTTTTTTTTTTTTAATCCCAATATCATGGAAAATAATTCACTTTTAACTTATTTCTGTTGTCTCTTATTTACCATTTATCCTCTACAAACCCATTATTTCTGGATTTTTGTATAACATAATGATGGACAATAAAATCTCCAAGGTGATTTGTCTTTTCTATTTCTATACCCTCCCTTTCAACCTGCATTACAAAACATGAAACAGAGGAAAGTCTGAAATGTTTTAATATTAAATAAGTTATAAATAAAAGGTTTGTATTTACAAGGCCACTTCTCAAGATGGTGCTTTCTTCTAAACCAGTAGATTGTGCATCAAGACTGGGACTGACTCTAGAGGATCACAGCCCAAGTATCACATGCCTGGATTTAAATAGAAAAAAGTTAGAGTTATTCCAGTCACCAAGATAGTCTCAGCATATGGTTAAAAGTCATCTATAGCAACGACACTTAAGCTGCTCCTTCCACGACCTGGGTGGCCTCTGTCCTTCCCCCCTTCAGGAGATGGCTGGCCTTTTAACTGAAATGACATCACTTTTCTATGCAACTAAGTTCCTCTTTTCTACCAGGGTGGGAATAAAACCAACCGCTGACCCACTCCCAACTACTGGCTCCCGAGGGAGGCTTACCAGACAGCTCATGAGAAGAGTCGACTTCTCCTCTGTCCCCTCCGTAACTGAAAACTCTGGCATGTGGGAACAGTGTGCACTGTGCTCGTTCACACTGTCTTCTAGACAGGCGCGAAGCTTTTGCTCTGTCACCTCCGGAGACTAAAAAATAGACGAGTTACACTACAACCTAATCTTACTAGCCTCACAGTCAACAGGCTGAAAACCTGCAGCTCCTCACACCAATCCACAGCTGGCTCCCCGGGATGGCTTGATTCCTTGGATCCTTAAAAACGCTGTAACTGTGCTAAGAGGATCTCTTTAAATGTCCATCTAGCCACCTCTCCAAATGAACCGGTGCTCTTCCGCTCCTGCTGGAAAACACTTAACTGCTGCTCATCCCACCAGGAACACTCAGCTGGAAGGCTGGAACCTCCCTGTGTTCCTGCCTCCACCAGCCAAGTGTGTGCTTACCCAGAACCAGCAAAGTCTGCTACTGAACTTGCTACTGTAACTGAGTGATTTAATTACATACTATATAAACCAATGAACTAAGAAAACAAAGTCTTGTTTTTGTGATAGTAAATGGAATGTTTAGGAAACAAAAGATGCTTTTAAAAAAAACTGTTGAATTAGGTAAAAGGAAAAGATGGGGAGGAAAAATCCTGAAATGTACACAGCTTCTTGATGCACTTTATAGAAACAACTGGAAACACAAGACTTTAAGAGAATTTTATGAAAAACCACCTCAGCTCTCCAATCAACAGAGTCTCGCTCAAGGACTGGCAAGTAAACATGTATGTTTGAAACTTATGTAAAGCGTGTCATTTGTATAATTCACCACTTTAATCAACTAGCAAACTTTTGGTCAACAACATGTCAAATAAGAGGACTCCTATACTTGAAGATTACTGACACTTAAATTCTGAATGCAGCTTTATCTTCAGATGTGAAAAATTTTATGGTAGATCAGATACAAGAATTTCCATTTCTAAACCGGGCTCTCTTCATAGAGGCAAGTGCCTCACAAATGGCTTGGGAGGAGCTTGCCAATTCCATGGTGTCTCGCATTGCCACTGTGACCAATTTCAAGCTACCAGTGTGTGAACTGGACGTGAGGCTGGGACAAGCTGTGCATACCACTGCAGTTATTTAAGAAAGTAGGTACATGTGGGGAGAGGTAATGCAAGACCCGTGTGAGGAACACTCACATGAGACGGGATGTACAGGCCACACTGACACACGACCAGTCCGCTTGCTATCCTCAGGTTGTACCTGGAAGCAGAAGGGATATCAGAGCATTACAGCTGGCAGACCCGTATCCCGCCACCTGCTCAGACCACAGATCGGGGGGAAGTCCCACTCACCTTGGAGTGGGGGGTGGGAACGAACAGTGCTGAAAAGGTTGTGAAAACTCTTACTTTGTGCACACGGGGCAGATGAGGGAGTTCGCTTCCCACTCAGCGAGCATGACACTGAGACACTTCTCGTCAAACTGCAGGCCCTTCTCGTACTCGCTGATGACGCGCTGCTCTGCAAGGCAAAGCGGAGCTGCAGTGTCACGGCATCGCGGGGCGCCCTGTCCCGCGTGCTGCAAGATTCATTTTCAAAGGCTCCATCCACACAGGAGAAAAAGGAGGGTGAAACCACACTGTGATCGCTAGATATGCACTGCTCTGTCAGGCCTCATCTTGTTGGATCCTTCCCCTCCTGTCTGCCCTCTTCCTTTTGAAGTGATGAGGCCACAGGAGTGGAGCTGAAAAAGTGTCAGGCAGCTGAAGAAAGCTGACAAAGACACGTATTTCTGATGCCAGGCCCACCTGGATAAGTCTAAGGTGATCTGTTCACCAGTGTCCCCAGACTCAGTCTATGTTGTTCAGAATGTGCGTGTTCATCCACTCAGCAGATATGTAAAAAGGTCTAGTACTTGGGAGGCCTAGGGTAAATAAAAAGGTGAAAAAGGCTGGTCCCTGCTTTTGATGAGCTCACCATCTAGACTTCAGAGTAGGGCTCAGCAGACCACAGGCCATATCCTGCCCACCTTCCATTTTTAAAGTAACGTTGTAATGGAACAGCCATTCTCATTTGGTTGATGGATGGGCTGTGATGGTTCTCCCACTACAACAGCAGAACTGAGTAGTAGCAACAGCCTAAACATTCCCAATCTGGCTCCTAAGGAGAGTCTGCCAACCCCAATTCCAGAGGGTTCCTCATGACTGAGGAAGTCAGAACACAGCAAATTCTTATCACTTCAGATTTTTCAATTGAATACACCCCAAAAGAAACATTTAGTGAGTCCTTGCACCACTGAGATAGGTTTTGCAGGTGAAAGTAAAGAGAAAATCAATTAAAAAAAAAAAGGAATCTACAGTTTTAACTGGAGTCAACACAGTAATCATAACAACTAACATTCGAATAGCACTTATTATGTGTCAAATGCTATGTTAAGTCCTTTACATATATATTAATCTTCACTGTTAGTCTTATTATAAAGATGAAGAAACTGAGGCACAAGGAGATTAAGTGTTTTGCCCAGCACCACACAAGTTAAAGTGGTAAAGCTGAGAAGTGAATTTTAGCCGTCTAGGCCAAGAGTTCATGCTCTTGCATCCTCAAGATAATAGCGATTGTTTATTGAAAGCTTTCTTATATGCCAGGCACTGCTCTAAGTCTTCAACACATGTTATTTAAGCCTACAAATAAACTACAGAGGCAGTCTGTTTATCTCTGTTTAACAGATGACAAAAACTGAGCCTCATCAAGACAGGCCTGTGTGAAATAAATGACTTAGTTATATGAGTACTATATTAGGCACTCTGTGGCTCTCTGATGCTACAGGAAGGGAAGGCTCACAAGACCCTGGAGAGTCAGTAAAGAACAGATGGGAGAGAAGGTACTGAAGTTAGGTAGCACAAGAGATCTGATCATGCACTGTCCTTTAAGGGGACAAGGTTACTATTAATCTACTAACAGAGAAGTACTGTCGGGTTGAACAGACACAGGAACCGGATTCACAAAATCGATTTCACTTTCCAGCTCCACCACCAGCTATGCAGCCTGTAAGACACCACTGTCTCCTCATACTACCTCATAAGGGCATCATAAGGACAGAACAGTAGAAGGAGAGGTCTGAGCATAAGGCCTGGCAACTGAAGACTCTTGTTACTGGGACAGCCAAGTACAGCCAAGACTTTAGAGTAAGAACATGAGACCCCTGAACACTCGATGAAGGTGGAAACAAAGGAGTTAAAAACATTCTGTTTAGAAATGAGGTCAGCATTAGAGCAGTTAGAGGTACAGGCAGGAAGAACTATTCCTAGACGTCACCTTGATCAATCAGCTCCTGTTGGATTTCCTCCAGCACAGCCAGGTCCATCGGCTCCTCCAACTGCAAGAGAAAGGGTTCATCAGAGGTTTGAAGTTATAATCAACTGACAAGACCCATGTGACTCACACTTGGAGACTGGCTGGAAGAACCCAGATTCAACTGAAGAAGTCAACCCAATCCTTCTGTAGAATGTGCTGACAGTGCAGTAATATGGCCATGCTGAGAAACCATCCACAAATGACTCACCCAGCCAGTGACAAAACAATGGCGCCAAAGCTGGGGGAGGCAGTGTAGGGTAGCAGCGAAGTGTATGGCTCTGCCAAAAAGCTGTGTGACCTCTAGAAAGTTTCTGATCACCATCAGTCTCATTTTGGGCCTCTGTAACATGGACATAAAACCCACCCGAGAGGGTTACTGTAAACATTAATTGTGATTATGTAACTCGGACACATAGCAGGCACCAAATCATGCCTGTTTATTACAGAGAGCCTTGATGTTTTCAGAGCAGTTTCCCACATGATTCTTATACTGTCCTCACAGTACTGACAACATTATCAATTTTACAAATGTGAAAACTAAAGCTCAAAGAGGCAGAATTAAGAGGCAATAGCAAAACCTGGTGGAAAAGGCAATGGCACCCCACTCCAGTACTCTTGCCTGGAAAATCCCATGGATGGAGGAGCCTGGTAGGCTGTGGTCCATGGGGTCACTAAGAGTCAGACACGACTGAGCAACTTCACTTTCACTTTTCACTTTCACACATTGGAGAAGAAAATGGCAACCCACTCCAGTGTTCTTGCCTGGAGAATCCCAGGGATGGGGGAGCCTGGTGGGCTGCCGTCTATAGGATCACACAGAGTCGGACACGACTGAAGTGACTTAGCAGCAGCAGCAAAACCAGGATCAGAATTCCAGAACTACTGAGACTTCCCTGGTGGTCCGGTGGCTAAGACTTTGTGTTCCCAACACAGGGGGCCCAGGTTCCATCCCTGATCAGGGAACTAGATCCCACATGCTGCACCTAAAAGACACCTCATGCTGTAAGAAAGACTGAAGATCCCGTGTGCTGCAGCTAAGACCCAGCACAGCCAAATAAATATTAAAAAAAAAAAAAAGAATTCCAGAACTACTGACTTCCAATCCAGTGCTTTTCTTGATACATGGTAAATGGTTTCCTATCCATACCCAGTTCCCAACCCTGGCTGAGATTAGAATCAGAAAGTTCCTGGAGACCTTTTTCAAAAAGAGAGATCACTAGCTCAGGCCTACTGAATCAAAAGTTCCAGGGGTGGAGCCAAGGAGTGAAATTTCTCTCTGTTGAGTTTTGTAAGTGATTATGATGCAAAGAACTGAGTCATTGGAAAAGGTCCTGGTGCCGGGAAAGATTGAAGGCAGGAGGAGAAGGGGACGACAGAGGATGAGATGGTTGGATGGCATCACCGACTTGATGGACATGAGTTTGAGCAAGCTCCAGGTGTTGGTGATGGCCAGGGAAGCCTGGTGTGCTGCAGTCCGTGGGATCACAAAGAGTCAGACACAACTGAACGACTGAACTGAACTGATGATGCAATGATGCAGCAGAATTTATGAACCATCAATTGATCTAGAAGAGTCTAATGTTAAAGGTAGAAGAATTTGGGTCAGAGGCCGTTAAGAGTCCTGACTTGGGGCTGGAGGGTGACTGGGTTTAGAGAAGTTGGGGAGACAGGAAGAGAGAGGACACTGCCTCTCTTGGTGCTAAAGGAACATATATATCCCAGCCTGACCTGAGCCCAGGCCTGTGGCCAGCTCTCCACCGACTGCAAAGCATTCCACTCTTCTTCCATCACCTCCTGCACTAGAAGGGTGTTCTGAGCACCTCCTGACATACTGCCTCCAGCCTGGCGGTATTTGTTCAGGAGCCTGTCCCGGCTGTTTCTCATTCTCTCCAGGCATCCCTTGGAAAGAGGAGAAAGATGAGAGGGGGGGAAAAAAACCCTCAGATTAGTTGTTAAAACACTAAAGGAAATTTATAGACACACAATTTAAACTCTAACTATTGTTATTTTGGCACTTTCCTCTCCAGTCCTTACCCACATGTCAATGGGTGCAATTACAATGCTTGGGTCATGTATTTCCAGATCAACATACTTCACAGTCTATCTTCAATGCCAGCTTTCCGAATGGTTGGTGATATTAGCGCAGCATCCACTGTGCTATCAAGACAGTTAGGCTGCTTCCAAATTTTTGCTACTCTAGATATGGCTCTGGTATCACCCTCCTATACAGTTACTCAGCTTCAGGCGATCTTTCCCCCTAGCGGCCACATGACAATGCCTGGAGACATTTTTGGTAGTCACGGCTCTAGTTATAGAGGCCAGGGAAGTTGTTAAACACTGTACAATCCGAGAACTGCCCCCCATTCCACAATGGAGAACTATCTTCTTCAAACTGTGGACAGCCAAGGTTGAGAAATCCTGCTGTCAACAGTCATTTCTAGCATCAGATTATTTTCCTGGGATACATCCACTACTTTAAATTCCAGGAAAGACAGGCCACAGTATTTACAGGAACGAGACTGAGTTCAGGATAGGTCAGGGCTGACTGTAAGCTACAATTCTGCTAGATTTAGTAACAGAGGCACAGAAGAAACCGTTTGGAATAGAATGAGAAATCATTTCCGGAATAAAAAATACTATCTAATTATTCTATTCCACTTTGGAATAGACATAACGCCTCTCTAGATTGCGGTGAGTATACAAGGTGCTTCTCTGGTGCCCACCGACCCAACAACAGCGGGTGTAGAGGTGCAGTCGCGGCCACATTTCACACTGAAAACACACGAGTCCAAAACGAAGGCTTCCTGGGACCGGGCCGATCCAGGCTAGTCCCACACCCAGGGGTCCAGAAGCTCCAGAAGTGTCCGGGCGGTGGCCGGGGTCGGACCTACAGGCAGGAGATCCACCTGCACCGACTCTAGCTTCACCCGGCCGGGCGGAGGGAAGTTACGGAGGAGAACGGTTCCTGGGCCGAACTAGGGGAGTGGCAACAACCTGGCCAAGGCTTCCCAAATCTCACACTCACCTGCCTGAAAGCCTCTTTCCAAGGCGGCGAGCCCATCAGTTTATACAGCGAGAGGTGCCGAGACCCCGGCCTCTCTGCCATCTCGTTTTCCCGGGAGTAGTCGCCAGAAAGCCCCGCCTCCAGCGGGGCACAGAATCCTGGGAGTTGTAGTTCTTGGGTTCCGACCGCGCCAGGTCCCGGGGAATTCTGGGAAACGTTTTCTTATCGGTGGATTCCGCACGGAGACGGATTTGGGCAACCCTAGGATGGGGGATTGAAGTAGTGACATTTGTGAAGTCTATCCAACCTAAACTGAAGGAGGTAAGTCTTGAAGGAAGATTTTATTTTTTGAGGGAAGTTTTTAGATGTCTAGCTTTATCCAGGCGGAGATGTCCGATAAGCAACGAGATACGCAGATCTCACTTTTCACCCACACCCTTCCCGCCCCGTACTAGACTTCCCGTAACGCCGACGCTTCAACTCAGGTTTTGGCCTGTTGACTTTCTCCTCCCGCCCCTTTGGTTCAGAATAGGCTTTCCTTTGGCGTTGACGCTGTCTGATGGGCTGCTCTCACCTTTGCCCCGCCCCTAATCCTGTCTCGTGCTTCCGGTCTGCCTGATCGATGATTGGCCGAAGCAGTGGAGACTGGAAGCGGATTGGCTGCGCTCAGCGGCGAGGCCGCAGAGAGCTGTGGGTTCAAGATGGCGAGCGCCGAAGGAGGCCCGGGCGACGGTGAGCTGTGGCAGACCTGGCTGCCCAGCCACGCCGTGTTCTTGCGGCTCCGAGAGGGACTGAAAAACCAGAGCTCAGCCGAAACTAAGAAGCCGGCTTCATCATTGCCTTCGTCGCCGCCGCCGCCTCCTCAGTTGTTGACGAGAAACCTGGTCTTAGGCCTAGGCGGAGAACTCTTTCTGTGGGACCCAGAAGACAGCTCCTTCCTAGTCGTGCGTCTTCGGGGCCCCAGCGGCGTTGATGAGGAGCCCTCCCTCTCCCAGTACCAGGTACGGCCAGGCCGAATTGGGAAACGACCCTTAGCTAGCGTTTTCGTCCCCTTCGCATCCTGGCTATTTTTCGTCTGCTGGGTGGGAGGGGTGCTATGCGAGCATAAGCAGACGTCTTTTTGGGGGGTGCCCAGCAGCGAGCGGAGAAGTCTCTTATTCTCATTCGCTCTACCACGGCCGCGGAGCCTTTGGAAGCCTCTCTTCCCGTATTTCATTCCTTCCACAAATGTTCATTGACTCTGACATCGCGCCGGACACTGTTACAGGAACTTACGCGCTCAAGGCGCTAAAGTTGTCCGCGTCTGACAGAAAGGAAAGGAGCGTAGAGTCACAGTGAGGTATCAGTGGTGCAAGTGCTCTGAAGAAAAACAGCGGGGGATACGGGACTTGAGAGCGTGGGTGCATTCGCTGTTTTTAGGAGGTGGATCCTGAGAAACCGGTGTCACGGCGTCACTGCATAAAATGAGAGGGACAATTCTAACTTTCACTTGGGGTGGTTGTGAGCCTCAAGTCAGGTCGTCGATTCCAAAGCACCAGATTTCCTGCCTGACATGGAGGCGGAATCCTCTGGAAATTAGGCCTTCCCCAAAGTTGAAAGGGATGTTGGCTTGTCTTGGAGAAACCAGCAGCATGTGAAAGTCGGTGTAATCAGAGAGTGTTAGACTTCTTGTGATTAAACGTTGCTTTATGGAAGCAACGTTACAAGCAAATTTACTTGTAACAAGCCAATTCTTGTCATTTAAAGATTACAAAATAAGAAAGCTTGGCACCCATTCTAACCTATTGCAGCTGTTGTGTGCTGGTTGAACCTTGTCGATGAGAAATTATTTGAATAGGGTGCTAGCAACGTCTCTGGAGTTTTGAAAACAGGTCACGAGCTTACTGTCTACTCACTTTAAAATTTCAGTTTTTTTTTTAATATGCTTTATTTATTTTTATTTTTGGTTGTGCTGGGTTTTCATTGCCGTCTGTGCTTTCTCTAGTTGCAGAGAGTGGGGGCTGCTGCTTATTTCCGTGGCTTCACATATGGAGCAGGAGCTCTAGGGCACGTGGGCTTCAGCAGTTCTGGTGCACAGGCTTAGCTGCTCCAAGGCGTATGGAATCTTCCCCAGCCAGGGAAGGAATCCGTGTCCCCTGCCTTGGCAGGCGGATTCTTAACCACTGTACCCACTAGGGAAGCCCTAAAAGTTAAGAGTAATTATTAGATGTTCAGCACACAGTACAATAGCTCCCTATATCTCTATGCAAAATTTAGCACAGTCTTGATTAAATTATTTTTATTTGTTAATTCATTGCCTGAATTCTTTTCTGGATTACAAGCACCAGGGCAGGGCTGTCTGCCTTACTTAGTTTTGTATTCCCAGTACTTCTGTGTGCCTGGAATATATGAACTCTCAGTACAATATTGATGACTGAATGACCTTCAATCCTCAGAAATCTAAAAACTCGAAGGAGGAAGCGGTTTATCATGAGTCGCAACTTTAAAGGAAATAAAAACATGAGTAGTAACTTTAAAAACCAAATTAAAAAAAATACCCCCCTCAAAAAAAAAACAGATCAAAGGCATGAATAGTGACTTTTAAAACCAAACCAAATCAAACCAAAAAACCCCCCCAAACAAAAAACACCTGAATACTGTGATTATCACAGGTGACCTAAAGTGATGAGATTGTTCTGCCAAAGAAAGGTGGCCTTTGATTTGAGATAGATTGTTAGAATCATGTAGAAGATTGAGAAGATGGGGGAAAGAAGGAACGAACCATTGACGGGAGGAAAAGCAATTTGATTAGAATTAGCAAAGGGCAGCTAAAAGCAAAAGCAATCCCTCCCCCGCATCCCCCTCAAAAAAAAAAAACAAACAAACAAAAAACAAAGCCCAGACTTACATCAGTAACAATTAACTGGAATCACATTATATACAACAGTCTTGTCTAATACGTTTTTGGCAGACGGTGATTCTCTGTACACCAGGATAAGGAATACATTGGTAATCTCTTGGTTTATTACTGAAAGTGGATAGAAAAGAAAGAAGGAATTGAGATACTCATGAGAGAAGAAATAGGAAGAAATGCAATTTTTTTGGAAGGCATATAATGCCAAGACAGACAACTTAACAGAACCTTCCTGAAAGTGTCTCTGTTTCATAACTAAATCTGCTTAGGCAAAGCAGCATATTACTTGCTGCAGAAGTTCTTGAAGCCGCTATCTTATTGTACTATTTATAACATAGTAATTATTTACTAATACTTCTGAGTTCTTAACTGGCTAGTCAACCAAAACATATACTGAGAGTTAGCAACATGCCACATACTATGCCAAGGATAACAGGAAAGACACAGAGCTCGGGTAATTCACAGTTGTGTGGGGTGAGCAAGTAAAAGGGTAATTGGAATGCAGGGTGATAAGGATTACAGTAGAATTATTTAGGGTGTGCTATAGGAGGACAGAAAAGATGCGCTGGCTCCTGACCAGAAAATCAGAGATTTTTGCGGGGAGGAAAGTACATAGAAACAGAGTCTCCAAGAATGTGTCAGCCAGCTGAGAAGAGGAAATGAGGGCATTGCAGGAAGGATAGTTGTACAGAAATACATGGTGATTTCCCAGAAATACAGGTTAATCTGGAGTATAAAGTACAAGTGGGGAATGGTGGAAAATTGAGGCTAAAGTGGTAGTCTGGAGTTTGATCATAAAAAGGCAAATTATATGTAGTATTTTTACCAAAGTAGGGAAATCTGATGCATTTTATGTAATATTCCAATGTAAGGAGTTAAAAAAATATTTCATCAGTTAATGGCTGAAGTGTTAGTACTTATCTAGAATGCTACTTTATCTTACATTAATAGAAAACTAAAGCAGTACTATGCTTTCAAGTAACTGCTATATATATTTATATTCAAGTGAACTATTTTGACCGATTTGCTTTAATTTTCAGAGATTGCTTTGCATAAATCCACCCCTGTTTGAAGTCTATCAAGTCTTGTTGAGCCCAACACAACATCATGTAGCACTTATAGGAATAAAAGGTCTTATGATATTAGAATTACCTAAAAGATGGGGAAAGAATTCTGAATTTGAAGGTGGAAAATCAACAGTGAATTGTAGGTAAGTTGCATTTCCATTTAGTGTTTATCTGTATAATTTGTAATACATGTAGAAAATTCCTTAAAATCAGTGGTTCTTAAGGTGTGTTTACTCTGCTACTGTTGAAACATCAGTGTACTGTAAGTAGTCTGCACATTGGCCTCTTGTGATAATGACTTTTATAGTATATTGATATATATAGTATATATATTTTGCCTAGATTACCATATTGCTGTCTCATTGGAAGTCAGGCTGTTTTATCAAGTAGGTTGAAATAAGATGCTTTAAAAGCAGTTATTGTCTGTGAGCCAAACAGTTTTCTCATAAGTATAACTTAGTTTTGTATTTTTTTCTTTGTCAACATATCTTGAGAAATGAGAGTGTGAAAAATATGAAAAGAATATAAGGTAGAAACATACCTTTAGCTCCACAACCCTTAGGTTGGGCCTCCTTGAAAATGTTTCTTTTCTAAGTCTGTTTCATATCCACAGTAATTGCCTTTGTATTTTCTTTACAAAGGTACTAAAAGGATAAGTTACTCTGTCTAAAATCACTGGTACTCTAAATACAGATTAGAAAATATTTGATTCTTTGATACTGGTTGGCAGATGCTTTGATTGCTGTGTCAGCAAGATGTTTAAAAAAGGAATTTAAAGGAAAGAAGAGCAAAAAGTGTTGAGATAGGTTTTCCTTTAGAAAGTTTTGGAAAATTGCTGTCTTTATTTTAGTACCACTCCCGTTGCTGAGAGATTTTTCACCAGTTCAACCTCTCTAACTCTGAAGCATGCTGCCTGGTATCCGAGCGAGATGCTAGATCCCCACATAGTGCTGTTAACGTCAGATAATGTCATAAGGTAAGTCTGTATCTTACAGTTTTGTGAGTGGGAAAACTCTCTTAATTGCCAGTTAACAGCTTGGAAAACTATCTGATGGCTGCTGTAACCTGTTCTCTGTCATGGAAGCAGTGTTCAGCTGCCCTAACTTAATTACTGCTGTTCCCTCTCAGCTAGTCTTTCTGCC